GACAAAGCAACACTTATAGTAGAGACTAGAGAGCTGACTCACTGAGACGCAGCTAAACAATAACGCCACTAGTTTTATACCCTGGCACAAAATGCTCTGCTTGATCTGCCTTTCAGTTTAAAACTACACCCTTTAGGATTGTGAGCTCACACAAAATGCCCCTCGATCTACCTTTCAGTTTCAAAGCACTTCGATTAGGATTCTGAGCTGAGCTTACACCCCAGGGCCCATATTGGAAAAGCGTCTCAGAGTAGGAGTGTTGATCTAAAAGGAAAAACTGACCTAGATCAACACTCCTGCTCTGAGACGCTTTTCAAATACGGGCCCTGGGGTGTAAACTCAGCTGTCACGCCCTGGCTCTGGGGACTCTTAAATGTTGAGCCAGGGTGTGTAGTTTCGATGTTGTGTTTTCTATGTTTAGTTTCTAGATCGTTTAGATCTATGTTGGCCAGGGTGGTTCCCAATCAGAGGCAGCTGTAGCTCGTTGTCTCTGATTGGGGACCATACTTAGGCAGCCGTTTGGCACCTGTTAGTTGTGGGATCTTGTTCCGTGTGAGGTATGTTATTTGTCTACCTTGGACTTCACGTTTCGTTTGTTGTTTTGTCGTGTGTTCAGTACGTTAAAAAAAATAAAAAAAATCAAATTGTAAATAATTATGAATGCATATCGTGACATCAGCTCACATATTAAAGAGGTGGTTTCATATACAAATGTCTCTATCCAGATGTAGTTGATACATACTGGGCTGTGGAAGAGAAGGGAAGGGTCTGTTTTCACTTATGTTTTTCTTTTTGTTTGTCTTTCGGTGGTTTGGCTAAAGTGTTGCCCAATCTGCCATCACAATATTCACCAAAACCCTCAGGCTATGTTGTTTTCCTTCTTATTTGGAAGCTAATCGCGATATAAATAAATGTACTTGCGAACAGAAAACCTGTGTGTGTTTCCTGGCCTTGTTAGTCATATGCCACTGGGCACAGACTTCAATTCAACGTTTATTCCACGTTCGTTCAACGTTATTTCATTGAAATGATGTGGAAACAACGTTGACTCAACCCGTGTGTGCCCAGTGGATGTACAGTTGATGTCGGAAGTTTACCTACACCTTAGCCAAATACATTTAAACTCATGTCCTAGTAAAATGTCCCTGTTTTAGGTCAGTTAGGATCACCACTTTATTTTAAGAATGTGAAATGTCAGAATAATAGTAGAGAGAATGATTTCTTTCTTTCATCACATTCCCAGTGGGTCAGAAGTTTACATACACTGAATTAGTATTTGGTAGCATTGCCTTTAAATTGTTTAACTTGGGTCAAACGTTTTGGGTAGCCTTCCACAAGCTTCCCAAAATAAGTTGGGTGAATTTTGGCCCATTCCTCCTGACAGAGCTGGTGTAACTGAGTCAGGTTTGTAGGCCTCCTTGCTCGCACACGCTTTTTCAGTTCTGCCCACACATTTTCTATAGGATTGAGGTCAGGGCTTTGTGATGGTCACTCCAATACCTTGACTTTGTTGTCCTTAAGCCATTTTGCCACAACTTTGGAAGTATGCTTGGGGTCATTGTCCATTTGGAAGACCCATTTGCGACCAAGCTTTAACTTCCTTACTGATGTCTTGAGATGTTGCTTCAATATATCCACATTATTTTCCTTCCTCATGATGCCATCTATTTTGTGAAGTGCACCAGTCCCTCCTGCAGCAAAGCACCCCCACAGCATGATGCTGCCACCCCCGTCCTTCACGGTTGGATGGTGTTCTTCGGCTTGCAAGGAGCCCCCTTTTTCCTCCGAACATAACGATGGTCATTAAGGCCAAACAGTTATATTTTTGTTTCATCAGACCAGAGGATATTTCTCCAAAAAGTACGGTCTTTGGCCCCATGTGCAGTTGCAAACCGTAGTCTGGCTTTTTTATGGCGGTTTTGGAGCAGTGGCTTCTTCCTTGCTGAACGGCCTTTCAGGTTATGTCGATATAGGACTCGTTTTACTGTGGATATAGATACTTTTGTACCTGTTTCCTACAGCATCTTCACAAGGTCCTTTGCTGTTGTTCTGGGATTGATTTGCACTTTTCGCTCCAAAGTACGTTCATCTCTAGGAGACAGAACGCGTCTCCTTCCTGAGCGGTATGACGGCTGCGTGGTCCCATGGTGTTTATACTTGCGTACTATTGTTTATACAGATGAACGTGGTACCTTCAGGCGTTTGGAAATTGCTCCCAAGGATGAACCAGACTTGTGGAGGTCTACAATTATTTTTCTGAGGTCTTGATTTTCCCATGATGTCAAGCAAAGAGGCACTGAGTTTGAAGGTAGGCCTTGAAATACATCCACAGGTACACCTCCAATTGACTGAAATGATGTCAATTAGCCTATCAGAAGTTTCTAAAGCCATGACATCATTTTCTGGAATTTTCCAAGATGTTTAAAGGCACAGTCAACTTAGTGTATATAAACTTCTGACCCACTGGAATTGTGATACAGTGAATGATAAGTGAAATAATCTGTCTGTAAACAATTTTTGGAAAAATTACTTGTTTTGAATACAACAGGTATAGACCTTTCTGTGAAATGCTTACTTACAAGCCCTTAACTAACAATGCAGTTCAAGAAATAGAGTTAAGAAAATATTTACTAAATAAACTAAAGTAAAAAGTAAAATAAAAAGTAACACAATAAAATAAAATAACAATATTTAGGCTATATATGGATAAGAGCGTCTGCTAAATGACGTAAATGTAAATGTATATAGAGGGGGTACCGGTACCGAGTCAATGTGCGGGGGTACAGGTTAGGACCACAACTATTTAGTCCTTCAGGGTTGATTCCTCTAACTATGTAGTCCTTCAGGGTTGATTCCTCTAACTATGTAGTTCTTCAGGGTTGATTCCTCTAACTATGTAGTCCTTCAGGGTTGATTCCTCTAACTATGTAGTTCTTCAGGGTTGATTCCTCTAACTATGTAGTTCTTCAGGGGTGATTCCTCTAACTATGTAGTTCTTCAGGGTTGATTCCTCTAACTATGTAGTCCTTCAGGGTTGATTCCTCTAACTATGTAGTTCTTCAGGGTTGATTCCTCTAACTATGTAGTTCTTCAGGGTTGATTCCTCTAACTATGTAGTTCTTCAGGGGTGATTCCTCTAACTATGTAGTCCTTCAGGGTTGATTCCTCTAACTATGTAGTTCTTCAGGGGTGACGGCTCTAACCATGTAAATTAGTTATTCAGGGTTGATTCCTCTAACTATGTAGTTCTTCAGGGTTGATTCCTCTAACTATGTAGTTCTTCAGGGTTGATTCCTCTAACTATATAGTCCTTCAGGTTTGATGGTAGTGTTGTTTTAGATGGAGTATGTGTTTAGCATCCTACGGCTAACCTTGCGGATATGTGCAAGGGGTTGGCAGCCTTCCAGTCAGGGTTTCTGCTTTCAGCTTGTGATGCACACATACACGCATACACACACCAGTCAGGTCTCTGCAGTCAGGTCTCTGCAGTCATGTCTCTGCAGCGTGTGATGCGGTTGGTTGGAGCTAGGACGTATTATGTTCAGGTTCACCATACCGGCGGTATATTTAAAGGTAGAGTATGACATTATGTAAAGCTTTATTTTGATTAAAAACAAACCATCCAGATTAGCGTAGACTACTGAGAATTTGGGATACAGAGGGTTCACTTGTATTTGGGCTTAAGCTCTCTCTTATCTCTTTATACGTGTTGTATATGTGTTGACGTTGCAGCAGCTCTCACTTTAATCTTCTCTGGTGAGGGGAGTATGAGCGATTTCTCTGTGTACAGGTTAGGTTGAGTAATATCTGATATTCTCTGAGTAATATTCACAGCATAGACTGGTGAGGAATCACAGCATAGACTGGTGAGGAATCACAGCATAGTAATAAGACAAGACATCTATTTTTCACTTTACACTCCATTGGTGCCTGCACTTTTTACTCCAAACAACCAGGTATGGCTGCCAGATAGATCAGTTACTTCTCAACAAACCCACACATGACATCAGGCAGATATCAAAATCTCTACAGGGGAAAAGCTACAACCCCATAAGAGTAGACGAGAAGTCACGTTATTTGGAGATCCTGATGACAATATTTTCCTTCTCTCTGACAGGAAGTGTCCGGGATGTGTTTTTGTGTAGAGGTCCGAAATGTTTCCTAGTCCTGTCTATCCCAGGTGGTGATAGACTGACTCAGCTGTACTCATCACACCTGGATTCAAACACTATTTGAATTCATTTAAAATACGCTAGCGCAATGGAACCAATATAATAGTTTGAAAACTGAAAACTCCAGCCTTCTGTCACTCCAGGCAGGCTAAAGCAAATGCTCAAAGTATTTGAAATATTTGCAATAGTATTTGAACCCAGGTCCGGTGTTCCTCTCATCTGTATGGACAACTGTTACCTCTTATCCACATGATACATCTGAACAGGCCTGTAGCGTGTGTGTCTGTGTGTGTGTGAGAGAGAGAGAGAGAGAGAGAGAGAGAGAGAGAGCGTGAACCAGAACCAACAGGCCTGTAACAAGCCTATATGGCAGGAGGAAAGATGAGTCAGAGAGAGATAGGAGGAACAGCTGTGGAGGCTAACAGGCTTTGTTTAGAGAGAGACATGTCTGCATAGGCCTCTCCCAGATTCCTATTCCACATTCCCAGATTCCTATCTAGAGAAAGTCTGACTTGAACTTCGACATTGATGTGTCGAAGAGGGGACTTTATCTAGAGTTAGTCTGAATTCTTAACATTCATGTGGGGACTTTCTTTACCCAGTACGAGAGGTCATAATTGCAACAGACCACCAGCTGTGATTAGGCCTTGTCCTGCCTGCTTGATCAATTGTTTCTAAATGTTGCATTTATTATGCCTAACCTTGGGTAGTATTTCCAACTGGAGGGGATTAGTCATGATGAAATAAGTATTTGTACCAGTGGGGATTTAATAAGCTCTGACTCCATAGAGTTACAATATAATACTTTCTCCCACTCCTCTGTTCCAGGTTATTCTGGTATCTGCCAATAAGCTCACACGCTACATCGAGCCCTGTCAGCTTACTGATGAGTTTGGGGGAAGTCTGGTGTACGATCACATAGACTGGGTGAACAAAAGACTGGTAAGCCGCCATTGCAATACATCCCCACTGTGACTGTGTACAATTACTGTTTAAAGCACCACATTTTATTTGGAAGTGATTTGCAACCTGAGACTACTAAAATGATATAATGGCTTTCGATTAGATCAAAGACGTTTTTGATTTGACATATTACTTGCTTATAAAGTTAATGTACATATTACCAATGTTTACATTAACACCATGACAATACAAACAAATGCAAACAAATACCACCAAATTGGTTGTGTGGCAATAAAGTATATTATATCTTGTATGTCAAAATCAGCCTCATAGTTTCAGGAAGGCAAGTTCAAGTTGAGTTCATCTCTGCCTGTGTCCATATTTGTATTATGTTTTGAATGACACACAATTTACAAATGTGTTTTCCTTCTCAGGTCTTTGAAAAGTTTACCAAGGAGTCCACATCCCTTCTAGATGAGCTGGTGGTCATCAATGACAGTGAGAAAAGCAGCCAGTTAGACAAAGAAAGGTATTTATTTCCCAACATGTTGCCCAATGATTGAGGCAAATTATTGTGGAATTGTTTGTGGCATTGGAATTGCAACACATTATATTGTTTATGACATGTTTATTTAGGCCAGTAAAGACATTGCTTACTTATCTTTCTCCCAGGCCACCAGATTGTAACTTCCTACCATCTTTGGATCCTGAAACAGTTCTACAAACTGGTAATTATTCTACTTTTGTAAAATCTTTATGCAAACTTCTGAATACCAGTAGCCAAGCAAGTAGTGCTGTGTGGTTCTAAACCAGTTTGGGCTCTGTTAAGTTTAATGGGACGGGATGCAGGGATGATTTGAAGCTAGAATGTTAACCACCATGGTTAGCAGTGCACGCCGCCAGCAGAGAACACTTTTTCCACTCGGCTAAACCCTTCAGTAAACTGACTCCTAGGCTACGTCCCAAATGGTACTCTATTCCCTATGGGCCCTGTTGAAAAGTCCTTCGATATACGGTGGAATTTGGGACATAGACCCAGTCGTTTTATTTGCAGGCCTAGTGGCGAGTAGTGCGTTACTTGAACAGTTTTACTACAATGAAAGTATTTACACAGACAGCTCTGGTAGAGAGCGGGAGGCCAGAGCAGAGCTGGGGTACGTCTCAAATGGCACCTTATTCCCTTTATAGTGCACTACTTTTGACCAGGGCCCATAGGTGCACTATAAAGGGAGTAAGGTGCCATATGGAACACAGCCCTGGAAGGCCAGCACATAGCAGAGCTGGCCCAATAAAAGCCCTGGAAGGCCAGCACATAGCAGAGCTGGCCCAATAAAAGCCCTGGAAGGCCAGCACATAGCAGAGCTGGCCCAATAAAAGGAGCTTTTTCTGGGGGTTGTGGAATGGACGGTCAGCTCAACGCGTCTCTGGTACTGTGCTTCCCACAGAAGAACTCACTCTGGTTAAGTCCTAACTGGCACCCTATTCCCTACATTGTGCACTACTTTTGACCAGAAGCCTACGGGCCCTTGTCAAAAGTTGTGCATGATATAGAGAATAGGGTGCAATTTGGGACGCTTTCTCTGTCTGACGGCTACACAACCCCTGATGTTCTCTTTCTCTCTCTCTCTCTCTGAGCAAATGCCAAGCGTGCACAGTCTTTCTCTCTCGCTTTCTCTTTCTGTCTCTGTCTTTCTCTCTCTCTCTCTCTCTCTCTCTCTCTCTCTCTCTCTCTCTCTCTCTGTCTCTGTCTCTGTCTCTGTCTCTCTCTTTCTCTCTCTCTCTCTCTCTTTCTCTCTCTCTATCTCTGAGGGAATGCCATGCATAATGAATACAGAGAGGGCTTGGGCTGCCGTGCCAGTGTTGTTTGTGTTGTTGTGTAGTTGTGTTGTTACAGCCACAACAGGGAGGCTAGGGGATGCAGCATGAGATGGAATAAGAGCATGTATATGATATGAGAAGAATTCTCTGTCCTATTTGTTGTGTGCTGTTGTCAAGGAATGGACTTGGAAGGCTTTCCGGTGTAATATTTCACTGTTTGTGTTTAAAGAGGTTGGGATGTTGTTGATGTTGGTATTATGAATAAATTAATAGCGATCTTTCCCCCTGAAGTACTCCTCAATGCACATCTGATATCTTTTGTAACTTAATGGATGACAAATAGGAATTTGCTGCTTATCGTCAACATGGTACACCCTCCTATCTCTCTGTCTCTCTCCAATGTTTCCCATATATGCATTTCGCAGCGCCACAAAAAAATACAAATTAATAAAATAAAATAAAGATTGGAAAAAAGACATTGGGATAGTAAACTTAAACGACTAAAACCAGATACAAAGTATGTAGAAAAGATAATGGAGCTACAGTGGGGAGAACAAGTATTTGATACACTGCCGATTTTGCAGGTTTTCCTACTTACAAAGCATGTAGAGGTCTGTAATTTTTATCATAGGTACACTTCAACTGTGAGAGACGGAATCTAAAACAAAAATCCAGAAAATCACATTGTATGATTTTTAAGTAATTAGTTTGCATTTTATTGCATGACATAAGTATTTGATACATCAGAAAAGCAGAACTTAATATTTGGTACAGAAACCTTTGTTTGCAATTACAGAGATCATACGTTTCCTGTAGGTCTTGACCAGGTTTGCACACACTGCAGCAGGGATTTTGGCCCACTCCTCCATACAGACCTTCTCCAGATCCTTCAGGTTTCGGGGCTGTCGCTGGGCAATACGGACTTTCAGCTCCCTCCAAAGATTTTCTATTGGGTTCAGGTCTGGAGACTGGCTAGGCCACTCCAGGACCTTGAGATGCTTCTTACGGAGCCACTCCTTAGTTACCCTGGCTGTGTGTTTCGGGTCATTGTCATGCTGGAAGACCCAGCCACGACCCATCTTCAATGCTCTTACTGAGGGAAGGAGGTTGTTGGCCAAGATCTCGCGATACATGGCCCCATCCATCCTCCCCTCAATACGGTGCAGTCGTCCTGTCCACTTTGCAGAAAAGCATCCCCAAAGAATGATGTTTCCACCTCCATGCTTCACGGTTGGGATGGTGTTCTTGGGGTTGTACTCATCCTTCTTCCTCCAAACACGGCGAGTGGAGTTTAGACCAAAAAGCTCTATTTTTGTCTCATCAGACCACATGACCTTCTCCCATTCCTCCTCTGGATCATCCAGATGGTCATTGGCAAACTTCAGACGGGCCTGGACATGCGCTGGCTTGAGCAGGGGGACCTTGCGTGCGCTGCAGGATTTTAATCCATGACGGCGTAGTGTGTTACTAATGGTTTTCTTTGAGACTGTGGTCCCAGCTCTCTTCAGGTCATTGACCAGGTCCTGCCGTGTAGTTCTGGGCTGATCCCTCACCTTCCTCATGATCATTGATGCTCCACGAGGTGAGATCTTGCATGGAGCCCCAGACCGAGGGTGATTGACCGTCATCTTGAACTTCTTCCATTTTCTAATAATTGCGCCAACAGTTGTTCCCTTCTCACCAAGCTGCTTGCCTATTGTCCTGTAGCCCATCCCAGCCTTGTGCAGGTCTACAATTTTATCCCTGATGTCCTTACACAGCTCTCTGGTCTTGGCCATTGTGGAGAGGTTGGTGTCTGTTTGATTGAGTGTGTGGACAAGTGTCTTTTAACAGGTAACGAGTTCAAACAGGTGCAGTTAATACAGGTAATGAGTGGAGAACAGGAGGGCTTCTTAAAGAAAAACTAACAGGTCTGTGAGAGCCGGAATTCTTAATGGTTGGTAGGTGATCAAATACTTATGTCATGCAATAAAATGCAAATTAATTACTGAAAAATAATACAATGTGATTTTCTGGATTTTTGTTTTAGATTCCGTCTCTCACAGTTGAAGTGTACCTATGATAAAAATTACAGACCTCTACATGCTTTGTAAGTAGGAAAACCTGCAAAATCGGCAGTGTATCAAATACTTGTTCTCCCCACTGTATATATTTTTTAATAAGATCATCTTTGAGTCTAAAATTCTAAAAATGTCATGTCATGGGGCCCCGATTGATTTTGTGATAATGTTTGAGTCACTTCGATAGCATAAGAACAAGGCATAAGCCATGGCAAAATGTGTAGAATTGCAGGAAATTCACTTTGAAACTTCATTTTTTTCTCTCAGACCCATGACAAAATATGTAGAATTGAAGGAAACTAGCTTTAAAACATTAAAATGTTCTCTCTGCCCCATGGCAAAATGTGTAGAATTGCAGCAACATATTGTCTCTGTGGCCAAGAGGAGGGCCTCTAACTTGTTTTGCCATTGGCCACGACCCCCCCCCCCCCCCCCCCTACTTCCTCCCGCTCTCTCTCTCTCATTCATTATCTCTCCCCTCCTGTCACTACTATTCCCCCTCTGATCATCCGCATCGCCTCTCTCCCCTCCAGGCCATGAGTTGCTGTCGGAGCTGCAGCAGCGGAGGTTTAATGGGGCAGAGGGAGGTGGTGTGGCCTGGTCCCCCATGGATGATGAGCTACTGGCCCAGCCACAGGTACAATAGAATAGAATAACTTTATATTTCCCAGAGGTGTAAAATACTCATCCATGGGGGACAGATAAGATGTAAAAAGTCAGATAAGATGTAAAAAATATATAGTAAACATATAACAGCAAAATTCACACATAACATACAAATACAATATATACAAAGACTATATACAATATATACAAGATAACAAAATAAATGTTATATTATTTCAGGTCATGAAGCTGCTGGACTCCCTCAGGGAACAGTACACCAAGTACCAGGAGGTGTGTCGCCAACGCAGCAAACGATCCCAGCTGGAGGATATACAGACCAAGGTCATGCAGGTACTGCACACACACTGCCCTATGATATCACATACACACATAGGCACACACAGACATGCGCACACACACACACAGCTCACAAACTGCACACAAACACTATGACATCGTCAACACCAGCCCACTGACAAACCTACACACACTGCCCTAATGGATCCAAAACACCAGCAAAGTGAAAGACTGAGGCCAGGATTCAACAAACGGATATTTCAGACATCGCACTGCCTTGACTTTGGCCCAATGCCATCAACAACAGCAGCCTAGTGACCAGACTGAGAGAGACAAGTGTCGAATAGAGCTGCTCTTTTTTCCATTGTCTTTTGCACTTTGTTTCAGAGAGGTTTACAAGCTACACACACCCACAGGATTTCATGAGGATCAGTTCAACAGACATCCAGAGAAAGGCCCAGTGGTTGTAATGCTCAGGGACTAGGGAATGTGATGCTTCAGTGGAACTTATTTTTCAATTTCAATTTCTCACCTTCTTCAGTTTATTTAAAGCCAGACCCTGGTGATAAATTGTCTGACTGTCCCTGTAACCGACTCATATCAAAACCTTTTCGGTTAGGCCTTCTCGTTCCAAAGTCAGCGTTACATACCACTGGATGGAAAAGCTAACTTCCGACAGACTGTTTACTTCGAGTCTCTGGCAGGGTTACTCATCAGTCAGCACACATGGCTACAAACACACACACACACACGGCTACACACACACGGCTACACACACACACACACACACACACACACACACACACACACACACACACACATCCTCAGCACACATGGCCTTCATCCCAGCACACTTCCTCCTTGGCACTACCTAATTTCCTGTCTGTAACCATGAAGAGAAAACGCCTTTTCTCCCATTGGCCAATAGATTGAACTCTACTTTAGCGTCTAAAACAGTGGTTCTTAACCTATTTTGGTCACTGAACCCCTAATCACATATTGCTCTGCCAGAAGTACCCTCTCATTTGCAACTGACCATTAGGCCTATGTTCTTATGAGTCTTCCCAATGTAGGCTACCCCCTGTGGATAGGCCTGGTACCCTCAGGGCTACAAGTACCCCAGGTTGAGAACCATTTTGAATGTTTTACAGTGCAAAGCAGTCGATATTGGATGATAAAACTACCAATGAGGAAGTGAACAGATGATGAGATGTGTTCCATGGAATGGACGGATTCTATTTTAGATTTTACAGATTCTAGATTCTAAGGGAATGAGCTGTCTGTTGCTATGGTGATAAAGATGTTGTTCAGTAGACAGTAGTCTAGGAACATACAGAGAAGCAACTGCTAGATGCGTCATAATAGCCCAGAAGTAAAGCCACACTGGGAGCCAAATTTGAAATGGAATACATTGAATACATGGAGCAGGGTGAAACAAAACACAATTTCAATGTATTTTTGTAAGGACTGTGGTCACCATTCAATTAATACATTAAATATATAGATGTCATGGTAGTGGGGAGCTATTTTATATTTTTTTCATGGGTCAATTATTTTCCCATTTACATCTTATAGCCACCAGTGGAGGCTCCTCAGAGGAAGAAGAGGAGGACCATCCTCCTCGGTGAATTTCATAAAAATATAAATAGTGAAACATATAAAACGTTATCCTTTTTAGATAAAACTATACTAAATATATTCAGGTCACTAAATAATTTATTAAAACACACTGTTTTGTAATGAAGGTAGACTCATGGTGTAGCCAGAGGACAGCTAGCTTCTGTCCTCCTCTGGGTACATTGACTTCAATACAAAACCTTGGAGGCTCATGGTTCTCACCCCCTTCCATAGACTTACACAGTAATTATGACAGCTTCCGGAGGACATCCTCCAACCTCTTAGAGCTCTTGCAGCATGAACTGACACGTTGTCCACCCAATCAAAGGATCAGAGAATGAATCTGGTACTGAAAGCATAAGCTAGAGCTAGCTAGCACTTCATAAAATATGGTGAGTAGTTGACTCAAAGAGAGAGAAAGACAATAGTTGAACAGTTTTTGAACAAATTCATTTATTCCAAAATTAAGAAGAAGCAAGAGAAAGAGCTATATTTGGTTGTATTTTTTTTCACTTTCACTTAGCTAGCAATTGCAGCTAGCTAGTTTAGCCTACTCAAACACCCGGCTCAAACAGAGAGAGATGCTAGCTGGCTATGGCTATCCAACACTGGAACTCTTCCAAGTCAAGGTAAGCTTTAGGTTTTTATTAATTTATTGCCCTCCAGGGCCCGCCAGTGTAACTACTAAACTGCTTTCTGACTGTACACTGTATTGCATGATTTTAGCGGGTTTACTAACGCGTTAGTTCTAGTAATAATAATAATAATAATTAGTCATTTAGCAGACGCTCTTATCCAGAGCGACTTACAGGAGCAATTAGGGTTAAGTGCCTTGCTCAAGGGCACATCGACAGATTTTTCACCTAGTCGGCTCGGGGAGTTCTAGTTGATTATGACATGACAGCGATGTAGGCTGTGTGTAGCAGTTAGAGGTCATGATATGAAGGTTTGGCTTGGAAAGGTTTTTTAGCCTGGTCACAGACAGCTGATGTGTTGTGCACTGAAGTCCACAAGTGAAAAGGTGAGAGGTGGAGAGCGCGTATATAGTTGCGAGAAATAACTATATATACAACGAGCAAAGTGATCATGCTGTTTTTATGTGGCTGTTATGAAAGTGAACTGTTTGCGTGTGATCAGGGGTGTATTCATTCTGCCGATTCTGTTGAAAAACGTTTCTTAAACGGAAGCAAACGGAATGAAACGGGGATAAACATAGCTGAATTTGTCCAATAGAAACTCTAATTTGCAACTGTTGGACTAATGATTACACCCTAGATCAGGATTTCCCAAACTAGGTCCTGGGGCCCCTCATAACGCTGCCTTTTGGGTGCGATGTTGTTAGACTACATATCGTTGTTTCCTCTTCAGAGGACACTGGTGCACAAGTGATATATTGTTTCATTTCGCTTGACTGTGAGAACCACAAGTTCTTTCAAGTTTTGCACTGTATGGTCTGAAGGTTTGTATAAAACATTTCTTATAGGCCTACTACTATAGACCTACTATTTAAAAAATCACGGCATCTAAACTGATTGGATCCCCCTCACCTACTGAATGAATGCACTATAAAGCGCAAAGCCCGCCTCATGATCTCCAGCCCAGACCACCCACTTCACCACTGATTTGATCTCCAATCAGGTCGGAGAAATCAGACAATTAAATGGCGTGCACTGTACGCTTCAGGAGGAGTTTCATCCCAGGGGCTATCACTATTATGAACAACTCCCCATATGGGCAGGTGTGGGGTGGGATGGGAGGGTAGGACAGGTATTTGTATGACTGTTCTTATTGTTTGTTTCCTGCTTTGTTTTCTATATGTGTTGTTTAGGCCTATGTGATGTGTGAGAAAGGCTAAGATTTCCTCTTGTAGGACAAACGTGAATCTGAATCGGAATTGTTTTCACTTTCCAATCATATGACCGTCATGATTCAAATGCATTGATTTAGTTCCATTCAATCAATCAAAGTTTAATGCTGGTATTATTTTCTCCTTCATGGCATGAGGAGTGATAGCTCATAAACTGAAGAGAATGTATACGATAAGATTGATTGGCTTCTTTCTCTTGTTGATATGTTTCACACCTTCCCAATCCAGCCCCAAACACACATTTGAGTTACACAAACATGGGGACTTCATTAACCCAATGTGGGATGTGATGGGTATATGGTCTTCTCTATTCGCTACAGAAAACTGTGAAGGAATAACGTTAGGAAACATGAATCTCAACCTGCAGCGGTCAAATGATTTGGCATAAATGGAAGTAAGCACCAACAGCTTGATAAAAAGTGTAAAACACACATGTGAAAGCTTAATTACAACATTAGTGGGAATATGTCCATGATAAAAACAAGAGAATGGAATATAATTTGATAAATGAGAAAAAAGATTAGTTGATTTGCAGCCACCACTCGCATGTGCATCGCTATTTCTAATATTGATGTTGGGTGACTTTATGCCACTCCTGGCGCAAAAATTCAAGCAGCTCGGCTTTGGTAGATGGCTTGTGACCATCCATCTTCCTCTTGATCACGTTCCAGAAGTTTTCAATGGGGTTCAGGTCTGGAGATTGGGCTGGCCATGGCAGGGTCTTGATCTGGTGGTCCTCCATCCACACCTTGATTGACCTGGCTGTGTGGCATGGCGCATTGTCCTGCTGGAAAAAACAATCCTCAGAGTTGGGGAACAATGTCAGAGCAAAAGGAAGCAAGTTTTCTTCCAGGACAAGCTTGTACGTGGCTTGATTCATGCGTCCTTCACAAAGACAAATCTGCCCGATTCCAGCCTTGCTGAAGCACCCCCAGATCATCACTGATCCTCCACCAAATTTCACAGTGGGTGCGAGACACTGTGGCTTGTAGGCCTCTCCAGGTCTCCGTCTAACCATTAGACGACCAGGTGTTGGGCAAAGCTGAAAATTGGACTCATCAGAGAAGATTACCTTACTCCAGTCCTCTACGGTCCAATCCTTATGGTCTTTTGCAAACCTCAGCCTGGCACTTCTCTGCTTCTCATTGATGAAGGGCTTTTTTCTAGCTTTGCACGACTTCAGCCCTGCCCCTAGGAGCCTGTTTCGAACCGTCCTCGCTGTGCACTTCACCCCAGCTGCCGTTTGCCATTCTTTTTGTAGGTCACTTGATGTCATCCTACGGTTGTTGAGTGACATTCGAATGAGTTGGTGGTCATCCCGGTCAGTAGAGAGTCGTTTTCGCCCTCTGCCGGTCTGTAGTTTAGTTGTCCCCAATGTCTGCTGCTTGACCTTGTTCTTATGAACCACCGTCTTTGAAATTTTAAGGACGGAAGCAACCTGACGCTCACTGTATCCCTCTGCCAGTAAAGCCAGAATTTAACCCTTCTTTTCCTCACTGAAAACTTTCCTTTTTAACTCTTTTGGCATGGTCAATAGTTATTTTTTGATTAATATTACTTTTGAGGTACTATTAGCACTGTTTTTGCCATCCAGCTGATCCTATTGCAAGAGGATAGTGATGACCACAGCAGTGGTTTTTATACTTTTCCTCGTTAAATACGATTTGGTTCAGGTGATCACCTAATCAGTTCCTAATTCAGTAGAATGAGGTGTGCCTGTGTTGGAATTCAACAAACACTGGAATGGAATGGCTGTCATACATGTAGAGATGCTGATTTAAGAAAAATGTGCAGTGGTCTCTTAATTTTTTCCAGAGCTGTATATTTAATGTATTACATGAATGGTGACCACAGCCCTTCCGAAAATACATCTAAATAGTGTTTTAATGCGATTTATTTCCCCACCCTGCTCCATGTATTCAATGTCTTCCATTTCAAATTTGGCTCCCAGTGCAGCTAGTTCCTGGGGTATTGTATGTTCCTAGGCAGCAGTAGGATTGGTTTGGCTTGGGGAGTTTGGCCTAGTTCTTATCTGCTGGCAGTAAAGATGCTGTGTAGTGAGTGGGGGAGTAGTTTGTAAGCTGTATTGCTCCAAGCTCTATAGGAGACAGGCAGAAGAATTGCCTCACCAAGCTAAAAGATGATGCAGAAGAAAACCGCTCTATCAAACTCAACACACTGAACCATTTGATCACCCCTCTTACACAGTTCAGTGGATTATAACACCTCTTCTTGATCCTCCCTAAATACTGCTTTAATATATTTGAACCAGATGTTGAATTAGATTTATCATGTTATTCGATATTTCCTTATCTTGTCCTGGGATGTCAGTTTAGACACACAGAAAACATTAATACAATATAACATGAACAATATTTACTTGGCAAAATCTTGTTCTGTGCTGACACATGGTACACTATTTGTCTCATTATAAGACATTATAAATGTTCATACATTCTTTATAGTCATTATACCTGCTGGTTTTAAGTACCGCATTTTAACCGAAACAATGAAGTACCCCATTTTAACCCAATCCCACACTGATTTGTTAATGATTTGTGTCCAATCATCGACCTCACAGATACCTAGAAGGTATTTGATTGGTTGGTCCTGGGGTGTGTGTCTGTGAGTCATGAAGCGTGTGCTAATGGGGTCTTTCTCTTCCTTGTTGCTATGCAGGTTGTGAATTGGCTGGAGGGGCCTGGCACAGAGCAGCTCCGAACACAGTGGGGGATCGGAGATTCCATCAGGGCCTCCCAGGCCCTGCAGCAGAAACACGAGGAGATAGAGAGCCAACACAGCGTAAGGACATAATAACACAACACACACTACAGACACCAAACAACACAATACAATGCAATACAATACAACACGACACAGCTTGCCAACAGCAGAACTCTATTACATCACTCCTTGTTCAATGTTCATAATCACAGACATGAGAAGAGGTGGGGAGATAGCTGCTAGTTCTGTGTGTGCCTCTCTTTCTTGCTTTCTCTCTCTCTGCAGTAGAAGCACTTGCCTGTGGAGAATCTTGACAATCCCAATAATTAGGTCACCGAATATGAATATGGGTTTGGATTGTTAGGAAGAGTCTGTTAGCTGCCAGGAGATGTACTGTACTGGAACTGGTTTTTATAGGTCATTACTCTCTGGGCTGAGGAGCACGGTTAAAGCAGTACAAGACCAAAAATATGGAATAAAGCCATTGAAGTAAATAAGGTACAATGTTTACATCTGGAAAAAGCTTGTGTGATTTCACTTACAAAACAGAGAGATAGAGAGTTTGAAGCACAAATTAGAGCTTGCCCTTAACTTTTCCTCCCTGGATGTAGTATTGTCCTGCCCAGAGTCGTGGACAGACAGGCCAGGCCAGGAAGTGACTGCAGCAGCAGCAGCTGCAGCTGTGGGGTGTAACTAATGGAAGGCTAAAGCGAGAGCGAGGTCAAAGCTAAAGATTGATGGTTAGGCTAAAGCGAGAGAGAGCCTTGTTGTGATGTTATCTCCAACAGCCTTCAGCAGGTGGAGCTATTGATCTGAAATGTCCAAGTGTTGTCAGGGTAATAACTACAGCACAAAAACACATCACTAGAGCATTCAACTCAATTACTGTACAGTAGGTCTGAACAGAATTTGAACAGCTTTGATACAGAAACATCTTTAGTGTGTGGTTCTTCTGTGTATTGAGCTTCTCTGTGATAAATTGGCTTGTATATCAGAAATAGTTTTCCTGCTTTCTGGCCAAAGTCAGAGGACCACAATGGAAATAAGTTGTGAAACATTGTGTTATTCACTTGTGTGGCTGAATTGTGTTTTTAATTTGTGAATCAACAAATCATAATGTATGTGTTATTGCTTGTGTATTTACAGGAGTGGTTTGCAGTATACGTGGAGCTGAACCAGCAGATAGCAGCGTTGCTGAGTTCTGGAGACGAGGAGGACCTAGTGGAGTTAAAGGGTCTTCAGCAGCAGCTCAGTGATGTCTGTTACAGACAGGCCAGCCAACTGGAGTCCAGACAGAACGTACTGCAGTCAGCACACGAGTTCCATGGCACCGCACAGGACGTATGTATCATTTGTATTTATTAGGGATCCCCATTAGCTGCTGCCAAGGTAGCAGCAAATCTTCCTGGGGTCCAAACATATTAAAGCACTTACATTACATATAAAACAAAATATAAAACATTACATCATATGACATTATTACACCACTACCTATATACAATACAAAATGTTTAATACCACCATGCAACAATATCACAATGTGTGCGTATGCATGTGTCTATACTCTTGTGTGTGTCTCTTCACAGTCCCCGTTGTTCCATAAGGTGTATTTTTACCTGTTTTTTTCAAATCTGATTCTACTGCTTGCATCAGTTACCTGATGTGGAATAGACTTCCATGTAGTCATGGCTCTATGTAGTACTGTGTGCCTCCCATAGTCTGTTCTGGACTTGGGGACTGTGAAGAGACCTCTGGTGGCATGCCTTGTGGGGTATGCATGGATTTCCGAGCTATGTGATAGTAGTTTAAACAGACAGCTCGGTACATTCAGCTTGTCAACACCTGTTACAAAAACAAGCAGTGATGAAGTCAATCTCTCTTCCACTCTGAGCCAGGAGAGGCTGACATGCATGTCATTAATGTTAGCTCTCCGTGTACTTTTAAGGGCCAGCCTTGCCGCCCTGTTCTGAGCCAACTGCAATTTTCCCAAGTTCCTCTTTGTGGAACCTGACCAAACTACTGAACAGTAGTCTAGGTGCAACAAAACTAGGGCCTGTAGGACCTGCCTTGTTGATAGTGTTGTTAAGAAGGCAGAGCAGCGCTTAATTATGGACATATTTCTCCCCATCTTAGCTACTGTTGTATCAATATGCTTTGACCATGACAGTCTACAATCCAGGGTTACTCCAAGCAGTTTAGTCTCCTCAACTTGCTCAATGTCCACATTATTCATTACGAGATGTAGTTGAGGTTTAGGGTTTAGTGAATGATTTGACCCAAATACAAAGCTTTTAGTTTTTGAAATATTCAGGACTAACTTATTCCTTGCCACCCATTCCGAAACAAACTGCAACTCTTTGTTAAGTGTTGCAGTTATTTCAGTTGCTGTAGTAGCTGACGTGTATAGTGTTGAGTCATCCGCATACATAGACACACTGACTTTACTCAAAGCCAGTGGCATGTTGTTAGTAAAGATGGAAAAAAACAAGGGGCCTAGACAGCTGCCCTGGGGAATTGCTGATTCTACCTGGATTATGTTTGAGAGGCTTCCATTAAAGAACACCCTCTGTGTTCTGTTAGACAAGTAACTCTTTATCCACATTATAGCAGGGGGTGTAAAGCCATAACACATACGTTTTTCCAGCAGCAGACAATGATCGATAATGTCAAAAGCCACACTGAAGTCTAACAAAACGATTGATTGATTGATTGATTGATTTGATTCATCTGATCATTACAAAACATGTATAAAGCCAAGAATAAGAACTACAGTGACTCTCACTCTAAATCACAAAGTCAAACCCTAGGCCTGGTCCCTAGGCCCTTGTGTAGATCTTTGAGGATTTGATAGGTGTAAGCAATATGGCAACAATCAGAGGGCAAGATAGAGCTACAACCACCCATATTGCTTACACTTATCCAGTCACCTGATCTACATAAGTGCCTAGGGGTGAAGGGGTGGGGGTCATAATATACTGAACAAAAATATAAACGCAACATGCAACAATTTCAAAGATTTTACAGAGTTACAGTTCAAATAAGGAAATCAGTCAATTGAAATAAATTAATTAGTCCCTAATCTATGTCTTTCACATGACTGAGAATACAGATATGCATTCACAGATACCTGAATAAAAGGTAGGGGCATGGATCAGAAAACCAGTCAGTATCTGGTATGACCACCATTTGCCTCATGCAGGGCAACACATCTCCTTCGCATAGAGTTGATCAGGCTGTTGATTGTGGCCTGTGGAATGTTTTCCCACTCCACTTCAATGGCGGTGCGAAGTTGCTGGATATTGGTGGGAACTGGAACACACTGTCATACACGTTGATCCAGAGCATACCCAAACATGCTCAATGGGTGACATGTCTGGTGAGTATGCAGGCCATGGAAGAACTGGGATATTTTCAGCTTCCAGGAATTGTGTACAGATCCGTACATTATCATGCTGAAACATGAGGTGATGGCGGCGGATGTATGGCATGACAATGGGCCTCAGGATCTCGTCACGGTATCTCTGTGCATTCAAATTGCCATTGATAAAATGCAATTGTGTTCGTTGTCCATGGTTTATGTTCGTTGTCCGTAGCTTAACCCCACCGCCACCAAGGGGCACTCTGTTCACAATGTTGACATCAGCAAACCACTCACCCACACGGTGCCATCACCTGCCATCTGCCCGGTACAGTTGGAACTGCGATTCATCCGTGAAGAGCACATTTCTCCAGCGTGCCAGTGGCCATCGAGGGTGAGCATTTGCCCACTGAAGTCTGTTACGATGGCGAACTGCATTCAGGTCAAAACCCGAGGACGACGAGCACGCAGATGAGCTTCCCTGTGCCGGTTTCTGACAGTTTGTGCAGAAATTATTCCGTTGTGCAAACCCACAGATTCATCAGCTGTCCAGGTGGCTGGTCTCAGATGATCCCGCAGGTGAAGAAGCCAGATGTGGAGGACCTGGGCTGGTGTGGTTACATGCCAGATGTGCATGCCAATTGCACGCTCCCTCAAAACTTGAGACATCTGTGGCATTGTGTTTTAGAGTGGCCTTTTATTGCACATTTTAGAGTGGCCTTTTATTGTTCCCAACACAAGGTGCACCTGTGTAATGATCATGCTGTTTAATCAGCTTCTTGATATGCCACACCTGATGGATCGATTATCTTGGCAAAGGAGAAATGCTCACTAACAGGGATGTAAACAAGTTTGTGCAAAAACATTGAGAGAAATAAGCTTTTTGTGCATATGGGACATTTCTGGGATCTTTTATTTCAGCTCATGAAACATGGGACAAACACTTTACATGTTGTGTTAAACATTTTGTTCAATGTAGTATAGACTACTAACTGCTTGGACTAAAGCTCTTTGTTGCCTTGGTAATAACGCCCCAGTTTACCCTCCCAGCTGTCCCAGCAACTGGATGGTCTACTGGGCATGCTCTGTGCAGACGTGGCGCCTGCTGACGGGGCTGCCATCCAACAAACACTCAAACACCTCGAGGAGAAACTCAAGAGCGTCGGTAAGCACAATTAAGTTTATTATTCACCGTATTTTATGAAACCAAGCCTACAATGGATAACTGCATAGTAGAATAATAAGACTGATCTTGAGAAAGGTATTTGTGCTGAAACATTGACAGTCTTAACTATATCCCCTCTTCTTGTTTTTTTTCTAATGGAAAACTGCAATAATAATAATGTAACTTTCAGTAGTGTTAGTTGAGTAATTCAGGAGTATTATTTGCTGTGTATTTCTGCCCAGAGGGAGCCCTGGTAGGCCTGAGGGAGAAAGGTCAGGTCCTGATGGATCAGATGTCCAACCAGACTTCCTGGTCCTATGGGAAAGACGTGCCCATCGAGAACAAAGACAACGTTGATCACATCCAAGGTGTCATGGAGGACATGCAGCTCCGGAAACAAAGGTCTGCTCAGATTTCTTTTCAATCTTTTTTTTGATGATGTAAGGCCACATGCCTCAAGATGATGCTGGAGTTGTTTACAAAGGTTCCATGAGTCAAGCAATTTCTGTAATATCGTGGAATTTTGGCCGTTGTCATGGAACTTGTCATGGAAACGGCTGTCGTCATGTTTTAAGACATTAGTAAAGTTTTGGTTCTGTGTAGATGTGAGGATATGGTGGATGTCAGGAGACTGAAGATGCTTCAGATGGTCCAGCTGTTCAAGTGTGAGGAAGATGCATCACAGGTCAGTAGATAGGCCTCCTTCTGTTCATCTCTGTTTGTTTGTTTGACCTCTGTTGGTTCTGGACTGTAAACTTCAGTGTGTTGTTATTATTGACATGTTGTTGTTGACATGTTGTTATTGTTGTTGACAATACCTTGTAAACCCCAGCTCATGTCACTGTGTTAACTCTCAGGCGGTGGAGTGGCTGGGTGAACTCCTTGATGCTCTTCTAAAGACCCACATCAGACTAGGGGACGACTCACAGGAAACCAAAGTGCTGCTGGAGAAACACAAGAAGTTTGTGGATGTTGCACAGGTACATACTACAAGAGTAGAGTTCAGACAGCTTGAGGAAGACTGAGGGGTTCTCTCTCTCACGCTCTCGTCACTCCCTCAATTGTTCTGTCTGCCCCCTCCTCTCTCTCTCTGTCTCTTTTCTCTTGTCTTTCAAAGAGAGATAGAGGGGGAAGGGGAGAGTGGGGTAAGTTGAGCCACCCTTGTGACTAGGAAACCATACACAAAGTTAATAATTTGACCAAATATTTAGGAAGAGGTAATAATTTCATGAAGTCTGTGAAGGAAGAAACCACATGGAAAAAGTGGGAAGCAAGTTAGGTCCAAAATATGGATTTTCACCAAGTCAAATGTATTGTGTTAGAGGTTTCATGATGCTTGTATCTAAACCGAAGTAGATATTTGTAAGATTGTTTATATATCAGTTGGGGTCTCTATAAGCTTCAGTATGCGGCCCTAAACCTAGCATAAAAGTGCATCGTAGCTGTGTGGGTGGGCTAATATAGTCAAAACGTTTGCCTTGGGGTAAGTTGAGCCAATTGCATTATCGCTGGGATATGAGGTAACAACAGGGCCTGGCCTATGTTAAAAGTATTTTAAAAAGTACAACGTTTTTGTTAGGTGTTAAGCCTGTTTTAAAATATGCTTAAAGTGATTAAAAGATAAAAAGCGATTTGTGATTGTGTTGAATTGTGTTTGGGAAATAAAGATAGACATGGTTTTAAAAAGGTAGTGGTAGTATTTCATTCAGTAAAGAAATTGGTAGGCGGCTTAACTTACCCTGTCCCGCATGACAAGATACCACTTTTTTTGGACAAGCTATGTTTTCAGAACTGTAATGCTCGATTCGGTCTTATGTAGCAAAATTTGAAATAGTATTTTTTACATTGGATAAAAGTAGAGACTCAAGAGCTAGAAAATAGTATATCATACACTACAGTTGAGGAACAATGGGAAAGTAATTCTGCTTTGAAAGTTGATAAACTTGTAACCTCACTTTTGAGAAAATGGCCCTTGAATGTTTTGGTACCTACTGGAGCGCTCTTCTTTGTCTACACCCATTCAGTATTGTTCACACCCTCTTAAGCTTTAGCCCCACCCATGTCTTTAATGATTCACATGTGAGGCTATGTACTAAACAAGCAAAGATTTCAAGACTAAAGGCTGGTTTATACTACGGGTGTGTTCGTAAATTTTATCTGGAGTGCCAGGGTGTGCTCTGGGCGTTCAAAAAGTCAGAGCGTTGTCAGATTGTCCGTTTGTAAATTCAGAACGTTTCGCTCTTGGTGCGTTCAGAGTGCACACTGGATGTTCTGGCCGAGGAGTAGGGTTGTTACGAGCGTTCTGACCTAACAACAGCAGTCAAGCACCGAAGCTAACTGGCTAATGTTGGCTAGCTTGCTAGCTACTTCCAAGAACAAATGAGAAAACAGCTCACTGACCATTTTACTCGCCCTAGCAGAGCTGGTTAGGCTGTTTTTATGTTATCCAGAGCGTTGGTGACTGCAATTGTGCTGCTGGCAACAATTTACTTCGCTTTTTTGCCAACGTTTACTGACACCGGCCATATTCAACGGGTGTTGAGCGTTCGTAAATTCGTCAGTCATTCTGCGCTCTGGCACACTCAGACGAGAGTGCTCTGAAATCAGAGTAGATAGCCAGAGCGAATTTACCAGCTACGTCTATCGACAGTTGTCGCAATGACATCATAAACATTCTATTGAAATAGTTACTTGCATAGTGGAGTATTTTGTTTAAACATGTAGCTAGCTAGCTAGCTAAACAATGAACCATAATCCCAACTCATAACGTTACTACCCTTGAATGTGCAGGTAGCTAACCACCCAGGTTCAATGTTAGCTAGCTAATATTAGGCTATAACTAGCAATGCAAATGCCTCTGAGATACGAATAATATTACTACACATATCATACACGTAACATTAGCTAGCTAGCCAGCCAGCTAACGTTAGCTAGCTAGCTAACAGTACACTTTAACTTGAAATGAAAACGACTTTCTGACAAAATTAGAAACGTGTAATATATGAAAATGTGGCTAGCTAGACTATCTTACCCATATACATGGATGGACGCTTGTCCCTCTCTGTCACGGATGCCATGGTTGCCATTAGTTTGAAGATGTAATCTGGAGACAGGTGTTTTATACAACAGCCTTCTGTGTTCTCTTTTCCACTTCGTCTGCATATTTGCAATCAAACGCCAGCATTTTCTCCATCTCCTTAGCTATCATACTCTAATTCTACTGATTTCAAAACTCGGTCCTCCAGAAAATAGAGAGCAACACTTATGCAGTTCTACTACGTGATATCTTTCAAAAAATCTGTGTTAGAAAGGATTACCTACACATACTGACCAGCTCATGTTATAGACAGAAGCGAGCTACATGGCAGACCAATCCGAACTCATCTCTCGGCATGTCCAGCCCACTCATTATCTCAGCCAATCATGGCTAGCGGGAAGGTTGCTGTCTTTTTCCGTGGCTAAACCAACAAGGCTCCTAATTTAACTATTTTGTTCGTATTTACAGATGGCATAGAAGTTTGTTATTAAGGCACATGAAAGTTCATATGTTCCAGAAGGCATTTCTGCCAAAAAAACGCATTTTGATCAACAACAAAAAAGTGTACGTTCAAATGGCGCTCCTGTAGTGACGTGCGACATACGCCTAGTTTCCTGAAACTAGTCACATATGATTATTTCCAAGGATACACAACATCCTGAAATATATGTAATTTCTTTGTTAGAAAGAGTACTAACTTATATTTCCCATGACGCAGTGATGCTGAATGTAAAAAATGGCTCAACTTACCCCACTGTCCCCTACAGGGTACTAGCTATATTGTTAACCTGGCTCTCTCTCTCTTTCTCTGTGTCCAGAGCACCTATGACTACGGCCGTCAGCTGCTCCAGGCGACGGTGGTGTTGTGTCAGTCTCTACGGTGCTCCACACGCTCCTCTGGTGACACCCTGCCACGCCTCAACCGGGTCTGGAAACAGTTCACTGTCACCACTGAGGAGAGGGTCCATCGGCTGGAGATGGCCTGCTCCTTCCACACCGCAGCTGAGAAGGTAGGAAGAGAATGACAGTTATTAAAATGAAACCTAATATTATCAGGAAGATGTTAATGTATTACTGAAGTACCTTTGTGACAGCCAAAGAATACACCTTCTTCTTAGCAAACATTGCCAAGGTTTTGTCTTCTTTGTGCTTCTGACTTCTACTCAGTGAGCCCTGTTGCTTGGAAGTGTTGAGTTATTGTGATATGCATGTATGCCACTTAACAGATACTTATCTAAAGTGACTAACAGTACAGTGAGTACATACTTTTTTGTTGATGGTCCTCCTCTGTTTCCATTCCCTCCTGTCTCCTCCATCCCAGGTGCTGGTCCAAGCCAGCCCAGACCTGGGTGATCTCCCAGTTGAGGTGGAGCAGGAGACCTATGAGGAGGTGGAGACTGTGGGGAAGGCTCTACTGGACAGACTCACTGTCCCTGTTATATTCCCAGACGGGTAAGAAACAATGGACATTTCACACTGAGACATGCATGGCTTTACCAAGATGCAAGATCTAATGATGCATGCCATTTTGATCATGGACTGTCAATCCTTGCATCCATAGCCTCATCTATGACCCTGCTGAGTCCTTCTGTCCCCTTTGTTCCCCCTTCAGGAGCGAGCAGTACTTTGGCAGTCCTGGAGACATGGCGTCCTCTGCTGAACACATCCGGGACAAGATGAAGCTGGTGGAGGACAGGAAACTGACTCTGCACGAGGAAGATGAAGAGGAAGAAGACATCGAGCAGCTACAGTATGAGCAGATACATGACCAGGACGAAGAACTACAAGATGATGAAGAACTACAAGACGACCAGGAACTACATGATGAAGAACTACAGGAAGTGGATAATGAACTACAAGATGGGGAGGAACTAGAACTGGAGAATGAGACGGACACTTATGAATGCTAATGGGGCTCTTATAACAGCTAGCCTGGTCCCAGATCAGTTTGTGCTGTCTTGCCAAATCCTATGGTCATTGGCGTGACAATGACCATAGGAGTTGACAAGAGAGCATAAACAGATCTGGGGCCAGGCTGCAGACCTATAACAGCAGCAGCAAGCAGTCCTCCAGACATTGAGGACAGGAAAGAACACCTCTGACCTTCGACGTTACGTCAACACAGCACCTTACCATCACGTGCACCAGATCTCAATGTATGCACTCACTAACTTTAAGTCGCTCTGGATAAGAGCGTCTGCTAAAATGACTAAAATTTAAATCTCTAGAATCCCGTCAATCTCCCGGTGTGACCGCATTCCTTCCGTCTCGGTTGTACTCTGCCTCGTCAAGCCATATTAACCTACCAATAGCAGTTAAAGATAGAATATGGTCCTCTAGGATCCACTTACATTGCATACAGTACATGACATGGAGAAGAGAGGAGAGGAGGAGGGAAACAAAAAGAAAGAAACTGAAAGCACTGACTGGACTGAACTCTGAAATGGACTATTTCCCTTAAAGCTTTACCTTGCCTGTCGCTTGTCCCTCTGAAGTTGTGTTCACGCTGCACTTGGCCCAGGGATAGTTTTAACCCAGGGTTAAGGTTAGGCCTGGGTTAAGAACAAGTAGTGTAAAAAACCCTTAAGACAGGTGACTCAAGCTTTTACATGGTTCTACTAAACCTTCTAGAACGTACAGAAAGCAAAGCACCGTCTCTCTCCTTGTATTTACCTTACCGGTGCTTTAGAGTTTCTAGGCCTTTCTCTTTCTTGTCAAACTGCCTTGTTTGACTATAAGCAATGTATTTTATATTTTCCCTCTTTTGTTTCTTGTTCGCAGTACTTTCAAGTGGTTTCTGGAAGGAGAGATAAAAATGTAAAAAGATGGGCCAATATATCAATCCATTCTCATTCTAAATGCCTTTGAATTTGGCACTAACGTCCCAGCCGACTGTTTCCGGTATAGACGGACTGTTGTATATTACGTGGATGGATGGGTGCAGTCAACCAGCTTTTAAGATATTTAGATGGCTGTGTCACTTGTGTGCATCAAGGTAAAATGTCAAATCAGAGCTTTGTTATAAACCTAGATTAGAGTGGTAGATCCAGGGCATTGTTTTTATTAATAAAATGTGATATGAGAATTATGCTTAATCTCTTCATAATTGTCATTCTAATGTACACATACAGTACATACACCTTTTGCATTGTGAGGCATGCTATTGAAATATTAATTATATATTTATTTTGTTTTGTATATTGGTATTTTACATACCAGTCAAAGTCATAATGCTTGTGGAGTTTTTAGGTTAGCGAGGCTAATCATGTATTTCTTGAAAACCTGGGTCCTGCGAAATAAACAAGCAAACATTTGAAAGATTTCTTGGAGAGAATGTAGTTATTTGTCTTTTGATTCATAAGTCTTACAAGACAATGTTGTCTCTTACACATACACAAGGTATGACTTCATGCTTCAATTTCATTTGACGCATTTGGGACCCTGGGGCACCGACCTCCAGGCCCCTAGTTTTATAATGCTATTCTACACATTTTGTCATGAGGCTATGAGAAAATGTTGCAGTTTTAAAGCTAATTTCCTGCAATTCTACAAATTTTTGCCATGAGACTGAGATAATTTTGCAGTTTTAAGCTAGTATCCTGTTATTCAAAAAAATTAAATGCCATGATGCTGAGAAAGAATTTTGCAGTTCCTTCAATTATATACATTTTGCTATCTGGGGGCACCTGACCACCAGGGGGCCCACAAAATAAATACAAATTGGTTGGGGGGCCCCCCTGCGTGCCCTTTCGGTAATTTGGCCCTGATGAAAGGCTGTCAGATTAAATAGGATATTTTAAGGTTTTCAATAAAGCTGCCCAGTTGTCAGATTAAATAGGATATTTTAAGGTTTTCAATAAAGCTGCCCAGTTGTCAGATTAAATAGGATATTTTAAGGGTTTCAATAAAGCTGCCCAGTTGTCAGATTAAATAGGATATTTTAAGGTTTTCAATAAAGCTGCCAAGTTGTCAGATTAAATAGGATATTTTAAGGTTTTCAATAACGCTGCCCAGATTAGACTGAGGTATGTAAGAACATGTTACCTCAAGAACAGCTCACCATGAATAAAGAGTATGGGCATCATAAAATAACATTGTCACGATCGTCTAGGAGTGAAGGAGACCAAAGCGCAGCGCGTTGAACGAACATGACTTTAATTGAAAAAAGCACCGAAATACAAAACAAAAGACGACTCGTGAAGTCCACAGAACAACGACTGAAACACGGAACAATAACCCACAATGCCCACAAGAACACATACAGAATAAATATGGCTCCCAATCAGAGATAACGAGCCGACAGCTGACACTCGTTACCTCCGATTGGGAGTCATATGACTAATCAACATAAAACCCAAACATAGAAATGAACCAACTAGATCCCACATAGAAATACACCCAAAAGAAAATGACAACCCTGGCTCACAACTAAGAGTCCCGGAGCCAGAACGTCACAGTACCCCCCCCTAAAGGCGCGGACTGCGACCGCGCCTCACAACCCCACAATAGGGGAGGGCTGGGTGGGTGTTGCTCCCCGGAGGCGGTTCCGGCTCCGGGCTTGACCACCACCCCACTATAGTTACTACCCGCTTTCTTAACCTCCTCCCAATGACCACCCTCCACTTAAACCCACCTGGATTAATGGGCAGCACCGGACTAAGAGGCAGCACCAGGCTAAGGGACAGCACCGGACTAAGGGGCAGCACTGGACTAAGGGGCAGCACTGGACTAAGGGGCAGCACTGGACTAAATGGCGGATCCTGGCTGGCTGGCTCTGGCGGATCCTGGCTGGACGGCTCTGGCGGATCCTGGCTGGACGGCTCTGGCGGATCCTGGCTGGACGGCTCATGGCTGGCTGACGGATCTGGCTGCTCATGGCTGGCTGACGGATCTGGCTGCTCATGGCTGGCTGACGGATCTGGCCACTCATGGCTGGCGGAAGGCTCTGGCTGATCCCGTCTGGCGGAAGGCTCTGGCTGCTCCTGTCTGGCGGAAAGCTCTGGCTGATCCGATCTGACGGAAGGCTCTGGCTGCTCCTGTCTGGCGGAAGGCTCTGGCTGATCCTGTCTGGCGGAAGGCTCTGGCTGATCCTGTCTGGCGGAAGGCTCTGGCTGATCCTGTCTGGCGGAAGGCTCTGGCTGATCCTGTCTGGCGGAAGGCTCTGGCTGATCCTGTCTGGCGGAGAGCTCTAGCGGCTCCGGTCTGGCGGACGGCTCTGAAGGCTCATGGCAGACGGGCGGCTTTGTAGGCTCAGTACAGACGGGCAGTTCAGACGGCGTTGGGCAGACGGACAGTTCAGACGGCGTTGGGCAGACGGGCAGTTCAGACGGCGTTGGGCAGACGGGCAGTTCAGGCGCCGTTGGGCAGACGGGCAGTTCAGACGGCGTTGGGCAGACGGGCAGTTCAGACGGCGTTGGGCAGACGGGCAGTTCAGACGGCGTTGGGCAGACGGGCAGTTCAGGCGCCGTTGGGCAGACGGGCAGTTCAGACGGCGTTGGGCAGACGGACAGTTCAGGCCCCGTTGGGCAGACGGCAGACTCTGGCCGTCTGAGGCGCACCGTAGGCCTGGTGCGTGGTGCCGGAACCGGAGGTACCGGGCTGAGGACACGCATCTCAGGGCTAGTGCGGGGAGAAGCAACAGGGCATGCTTGGCCCTGGGGACGCACCGTAGGCCTGATGCGTGGTGCCGGAACTGGAGGTACCGGGCTGAGGACACGCATCTCAGGGCTAGTGCGGGAAGCAGCAACAGGGCATGCTTGGCCCTGGGAACGCACATAAGGCCTAGTGCGGGGAGCAGCAACAGGGCATGCTGGACCCTGGGGACGCACATAAGGCCTAGTGCGGAGAGCAGGAACAGGCCGGGCTGGGCTGGCGACGCGCACCGTATCCCTGGTGCGAGAGGCCGGAACAGGCCGGGCCGGGCTGGCGAAGCGCACCGTATCCCTGGTGCGTGGAGTAGGAACAGGCCGGGCTGGGCTGGCGACGCGCACCGTATCCCTGGTGCGAGTGGCCGGAACAGGCCGGGCCGGGCTGGCGAAGCGCACCGTATCCCTGGTGCGTGGAGTAGGAACAGGCCGGGCTGAGCTGGCGACGCGCACCGTATCCCTGGTGCGAGTGGCCGGAACAGGCCGGGTCGGGCTGGCGTAGCACACCGTGGACCTGGTGCTTGGAGTAGGAACAGGCCGGTCCGTACCGGGAACACACACCACTGGCCTCAACCGAGGATCAGGAACGGGCCGGACCGGACTGGCAACACACATCAGTCCTTCACGCCGTGCCACAAACACTTCCCTCCCTCTACTCGCCAATGGCTCCCGTACTCCGTTAGCCTTCTCTCCTTTTCTCCCTGTGGCAGCCTCCTGCTGCCCAGCCGCCCAAGCCATGTGCCCCCCCCCAAAAACTTTTTGGGGTTGCCTCCCGTCCTTCCGACGATGGCCCTGCCGATGCCGTTGCTCCTCCCCTGCCAGGTTCTCCCCCTTCATCGCCCTCCGGTACCGGACGGCCTCCTCCTGGGTAATATGTCCCCAGCCGAGGAGGACATCCACCAACGTTCTCTCCTGACCCGGCGCCTCCTCCCATGTCCAGACCCTTTGCTCCTGGACGCGCTGCTTGGTCCTTTTGTGGTGGGTTATTCTGTCACGATCGTCTAGGAGTGAAGGAGACCAAAGCGCAGCGCGTTGAACGAACATGACTTTAATTGAAAAAAGCACCAAAATACAAAACAAAAGACGACTCGTGAAGTCCACAGAACAACGACTGAAACACGGAACAATAACCCACAATGCCCACAAGAACACATACAGAATAAATATGGCTCCCAATCAGAGATAACGAGCCGACAGCTGACACTCGTTACCTCCGATTGGGAGTCATATGACTAATCAACATAAAACCCAAACATAGAAATGAACCAACTAGATCCCACATAGAAATACACCCAAAAGAAAATGACAACCCTGGCTCACAACTAAGAGTCCCGGAGCCAGAACGTCACAAACATTCCCTAATTTGGCACGACATTTGCATTTATATTTAAACAATGAATACACCCCTTAACCGGAAATGACAAAACTCCTGACTTTATCAGTGCCCGCTTTCCTGGGAGTCTGGGAGCCAGCAGTTCACACAGCAGTTGAAGGGAAATACCCACATCGTGAGTCATCTTCAAAGCTATCATACCATCTTTACTTTTCGAACCATTCCACGACTAACACAAACCTTCAAGGTATCAAAACACTGAAATTGTTCAGTTTTGCTTTTTGTAAATGGCCCGGCAACAATACTTCTTTCAGTAGCATAGCATCCATATATTGTATTTCAAGTGGATGTTCTAATCTACTGGAACGGAGAAGGCCCATAGCCTGCTTATCTTCAGAGCCTAGGGCAGAACTACTGAAGTCTGGTTTCTGTAATGTTGGGCCATTGTAAAGAAGCAATATTGCTTATTTAGTATAATTTGTTCTTTGGTATTTAAGGGTGTGTTTGAAGGTTGTATGTGTGGATCTAGGCCAGGGTTCCCCAACTGGCGGCCCGCAGTTTTATTTGGCCCCTCAAGTTTCCTGACCATTTTTATTATTTTCATTGCGGGACATAAAAGACTGTATAAACGCCAGGAAATCAGCTCCAAGTGATTTTAATTTTGGATATCTGTTCCAAAGTATTCCCATTCATAATACAGAGACACATCTGATCTTATACAAATGTAAGGATGATTTGAAATGATTGTGTTTTAGTCAAATATGATATATGTTTGGGCTTCTTGCGGTCAATTTGCAGTCTACAAATTATTTGTAATTATGTTCCGGCCCCCCGACCTAGTTGATGATCCCTGATCTAGGCCTACTAAAACATGGTGCAGGGTAGCAATAGGGAGTCCAAGGGACTCAGGGAGTCCAACCAACACACAGACTCCCTATGTTGTGTACCAAATCTAGGTGCAGGGTAGGCCCTGGCTGCTTAGCTTAGTCTGTGAACCAGCAGAGGGAGTAGGGTGTTGTGGTGGCTTTTGGTCTACTAGGTCTTCTCTTGTTCATGTCTATTGTTATTTTGTGAAGCCATAGTAACTATTATAGAAACAAAGAGACACTTCCTTATAAAGAAATAGGCCTATTTATTTTCAGACATCAAAGGTGTAAACATATTGAAAGTGAGCTTTGTAATCAGGGGGGAGGGGGGAGGGGGGGGATTCCAAACCAAATGCTGTTTGAGGCCCGGTGATCTTTTAATACAGCTTAAAGGTGATACTGTTCATTAAGTTACAATGTTTGAATCCATCTGACTCAGTAGCTTTTAAATCTTGAAGGTGATAGCTGTTGCTGTAGCTGTTGTCAATGCTTATAATGACATGAAGCTGATGGTGAACCTATATTTAATCCTCTCTGATTTCTCTCGGCCGGAGTGGGCTGCTCAGAGTGTGCGTCCCAAATGATGACATATCCCCTTTATAGTGCACTACTTTTGACCAGAGCCCTAAAGGTAGAGCACTATATAGGGAATATGGTGCCATTTGAGCTGCTCAGAGAGACGGTAGCTGGGACAGAATTATCAGGAGACCCCAACAGATGGCTGGGTGGGGTGAGGGTGCCTTCCAGGTCCTCCCAGTCTGTCCTGGGCTGTGCCCGAATCGGCTGATCTGTGTGTGTGTGTCTGTGTGTGTGTGTGTGTGTGTGTGTGTGTCTGCTCGACTCGGCTGATCTGTCTGTGTATGTGTGTCTGTGTGTGTGTGTCTGTGTGTCTGTGTGTCTGTGTGTCTGTGTCTGTGTCTGTGTGTGTGTGTGCCCCCGACTTGGCTGATCTCACAGCGTCTTACTTTCTCAGCTGTTTCTTTAACTTCTCTAACAGCTGCCGCCTGCCCGCAACACTAGTCCATGACAGACCTGGGTTCAAATACTATTTGAAATAATTAAAAATATTTTAGCTGTGGTTGATTGAGCTTGCTTGTTGCTTTGCAAACCCTTGCCTTGCACCCCCAGAGATCCCAAAATCTGGCACTCCAGACAGGCAAATGCTCAAAATATTTGTAGATTTCACGTAGTAGCCTATTTGAACCCAGGTCTGAGTGTAGTGACAATGGGGAAGCATGACATGCAGATCCAAGTTGTCTTGTTAGCAATCACTACACTTCTTTGGACTTCAGGCACCCCGACATGCCTTTGAGTAGGCTACATTTCACGCAAATGTCTTCCCTCAAGTATCTGAGTCAGGCACTGTTGTTTGGCAGTGGCACACACACACAGTGACGACCCGCAGTGGAAACACTGAACAGTGGTTTTATTTTCTAGTTGATGGAGCATTTCTACACAGTATGAAACCCAGTTTGATTATTCACCTCCTCCACAGTGCTGCCCATTACAAACAGTCAGCTCTCAGTCCTTTAACCCTGGCATGTCCTCTATCTAAGCCCCTCCTTCTATGCAAAATAGTACAAATGTTATATTGCACATTAGAACTGTACTTTGTGGACATTTGTGACATTTTGCATCTTGTCAAATATATCAAATAATGTTTCTATGCACGACATACTAGTAAGACATTGGCAACTAGGGTAGATGATTGAAGTACTTGTACTGTACACTGGGGACGTTTGGGAAGTTTTGTATCTTGTCTACACAACAAAATGTGTTGTGTGTTGTTGTAAAAGTTGTTGATTTGATATGAAGCGACCTCGGTGATCTCTGGTATCCTGAGGCCCATGATGGGCTACTGTTGGCCTTACAGTAGGCTATATCATTTGGACACACACACAACATATGCACATACATACATTCATATCTATAGTGTTTGTTTCTTCACCCAGTTTACAGTACATATCTATCACCGTACCTTAGGAGAGTAACACATACCTCTCACTATTGGATCTTGGATCTATTGATGTATTACTAACTATCAAATAGACTCATTAAAGTTGGGAAGCTGAGGTCTGTTTGTGTTCCCCTGCTGTTTCCCTACTGTATCAGAATGTATTTCTCTCTCTCTCTCTCTCTCTCTCTCTCTCTCTTCTCTCTCTCTCTCTCTCTCTCTCTCTCTCTCTCTCTCTCTCTCTCTCTCTCTCTCTCTCTCTCTCTCTCTCTCTCCATCTCTTTTCCTACCATTGTGCTGTATTCAGGGAATAAAGAGCTGATTCTCATTAGGACAATACTAACCCCCTAACTCTCTGACACGCTTACCTCTCTCTATTGGATCTATTGATGTACTACTAAGTATCAAAGAGACTCATCAAAGTTGGGCCAGCAGGAAGCTGAGGTCTGTTTGTGTTCCTCTGCTGTTTCCCCTACTGTATCAGAATGTACTCTCTCTCTCTCTCTCTCTCTCTCTCTCTCTCTCTCTCTCTCTCTCTCTCTCTCTCTCTCTCTCTCTCTCTCTCTCTCTCTCTCTCTCTCTCTTTCTATATCTCTAGTCTCTCCCTCTGTCGCTCTCTCTGTCTCTCTTTCTATATCTCTAGTCTCTCTCTATGTTACTCTCTCTCTGTCTCTCTCTCTCTCTCCCCTGTCGCCCTCTTTCTCATTCACTCTCTCCCCTCCATCTCTCTCTCTTTCTCTCTCGCTCTCTCTCCCCTTGTCTCTCTATCTCTTTTCCTTCCATTGTGCTGTAGTCAGGGAATAAAGAGCTGATTCTCATTAGGACAATACTAACTCCCCCTAACTCTCTGACACACTGGCTTGTTCCCCAAAGGGGAACCAAGAGGAATTTTAAATAAAACGTCTCTAAAGAATGCCAGTTTCCTCAAAATAAATAATACAGACATGTACTGTGTTTGAGAGAGTGGTCAAATATGTATTTTTGAATTACTTATTGGTAGAAGTATTGCCTGTGCCTAAAGGGGCTATCTAGCCAGCCAGTCAGCCAGCCAGGCAAGGTAGTGGTAATTAGAAGCAGCCAGCCAGTGAGAGTGTGGACTTTTCTTTCTCTTAAAATATACTTAAACACTAGTGTAGCATACCAGTGTGAAGTGTGCTTGGCTTTTGGCTTTAATAATATAATAATAATAATAATAATAATAATAATAATAATAATAATAATAATAAATGCCATTTAGCAGACGCCTTTATCCAAAGCGACTTACAGTCACGTAGAGGGGACACCAGAGGGGACACCAATGGAAAAACGTATTCACAGACCTAGAGAAGCAAGATAAAAATATGTCCCGCTATCACAACTCACAGGGTATTTTCCCTTCTATTGGAAGATAGATAGGCCTACCAATATGATATTCCATGGATGGACTGGTGCCTATGTGGGGTTGTCTGTGTGGGAGGGAGGCAGGAGAGGATAAAGAGGGGCCGAGTGGGACTGGGAGAGAGGCAGGCAGGGAGAGGGAAGGGTTGTGCAGATAGACCAGAGTGGAGCGGAGCCACCAAACTATGGGTGTGTCAAATGGCTCCCAGCACAGCACAGTGTGATAATCCTAGTGGATAGTTCTATTTTTAACACACTGGCCAGTCGTGTTCTGCCCTGTCAACTTCTCTCTGCTCTGTGTCTCCTGCTTGTTGAGCTTCAGTCAGTACATTGATGCTAGTGGCTCTGATCTGTTGTGCTGTGCTGTGGCTCGGCTGTGGGACTGGAGGGAGTGGAAGGGGGGCATAACACTGCTGCTTAAACATAGACCTTCCAATTTGATTTTATAGCGCCTGTTGGACGAGGGGACAGAGGGGTCTCTCTACTGCTGTTTTTTGCTTGGTCACTGTCTTCAAAGGAAATATTGAAGGACTGTTGAGTTTGGAAGCCCCCAGAGACTGAAATGAGAGAACAGGAGAGAGACTAGGATTTCCAGAATCCAGAGAGAAGAGTGTACTGTCGGGGCTGTAAAGCTCATCTTGTACTTTATGAAGTTAAGTTTGGACGGGGGAGACAATGTCTAACGAAAGTGACACTGGAGGTCAACCTGCTGCGACAACAACAATCAGCACTGTCGCCGTGCAGGCTGGGGAATCTCAGATTATTGTTACTGTGTTCAAGGTACCGATCTCCTAAAATATTCTTCAGTTGTGTCTTTGTGTCGTCTTTAGCTGTCTTTAGTTGTCTTTTTAAGCTTATTTCGGTCCTTGAAAAGCACTATATAAAACCCATGTATTCTTTTTCAGTTTGTTGATAACTCATGTGAACAGAACAGAAGAGCTTAGATACAGTGGGGAGAACAAGTATTTGATACACTGCCAATCTTGCAGGTTTTCCTACTTACAAAGCATGTAGAGGTCTGTAATTTGTATCATAGGTACACTTCAACTGTGAGAGACGGAATCTAAAACAAAAATCCAGAAAATCACATTGTATGATTTTTAAGTAATTAATTTGCATTTTATTGCATGACAAGTATTTGATCAGAAAAGCAGAACTTAATATTTGGTACAGAAACCTTTGTTTGCAATTACAGAGATCATACATTTCCTGTAGGTCTTGACCAGGTTTGCACACACTACAGCAGGGATTTTGGCCCACTCCTCCATACAGACCTTCTCCAGATCCTTCAGGTTTCGGGGCTGGCGCTGGGCAATATGGACTTTCAGCTCCCTCCAAAGATGGTTCAGGTCTGGAGACTGGCTAGGCCACTCCAGGACCTTGAGATGCTTCTTACGGAGCCACTCCTTAGTTGCCCTGGCTGTGTGTTTCGGGTCGTTGTCATGCTGGAAGACCCAGCCACGACCCATCTTCAATGCTCTTACTGAGGGAAGGAGGTTGTTGGCCAAGATCTCGCGATACATGGCCCCATCCATCCTCCCCTCAATACGGTGCAGTCGTCCTGTCCCCTTTGCAGAAAAGCATCCCCAAAGAATGATGTTTCCACCTCCATGCTTCACGGTTGGGATGGTGTTCTTGGGGTTGTACTCATCCTTCTTCTTCCTTCAAACACGGCGTGTGGAGTTTAGACCAAAAAGCTATATTTTTGTCTCATCAGACCACATGACCTTCTCCCATTCCTCCTCTGGATCATCCAGATGGTCATTGGCAAACTTCAGACGGGCCTGGACATGCGCTGGCTTGAGCAGGGGGACCTTGCGTGCGTTGCAGGATATTAATCCATGACGGCGTAGTGTGTTACTAATTGTTTTCTTTGAGACTGTGGTCCCAGCTCTCTTCAGGTCATTGACCAGGTCCTGCTGTGTAGTTCTGGGCTGATCCCTCACCTTCCTCATGATCATTGATGCCCCACGAGGTGAGATCTTGCATGGAGCCCCAGACCGAGAGTGATTGACCATCATCTTGAACTTCTTCCATTTTCTAATAATTGCGCCAACAGTTGTTGCCTTCTCACCAAGCTGCTTGCCTATTGTCCTGTAGCCCCTCCCAGCCTTGTGCAGGTCTACAATTTGATCCTTGATGTCCTTACACAGCTCTCTGGTCTTGGCCATTGTGGAGAGGTGGGAGTCTGTTTGATTGAGTGTGTGGACAAGTGTCTTTTATACAGGTAACGAGTTCAAACAGGTGCAGTTAATACACGTAATGAGTGGAGAATAGGAGGGCTTCTTAAAGAAAAACTAACAGGTCTGTGAGAGCCGGAATTCATACTGGTTGGTAGGTGATCAAATACTTATGTCATGCAATAAAATGCAAATTAATTACTTAAAAATCATACAATGTGATTTTCTGGATTTTTGTTTTAGATTCCGTCTCTCACAGTTGAAGTGTACCTATGATAAAAATTACAGACCTATACATGCTTTGTAAGTAGGAAAACCTGCAAAATCGGCAGTGTATCAAATACTTGTTCTCCCCACTGTATATGCCTCTCAGAACTCTTCTTTGGTCAGAAATGATTGTTCACTCCACAATGATGGAGATGGAGAAGATCAATCTTTCCAAGCAGTTTAACAAAAATGTTGTCTAATATTACCATAGCGTTATGTCTATATAACAACAAGGAATGGTAATGTTCAGTGACTGTCAAGCTAGATTATTGATCTGTCTGTATCTGACAGACACTGACCTCACAGTGATCATCCATCGATCTCTTTCTTTCCAAAGTGCTGCTGCTATTAGAGGATGTTTCCCAAATGGCACCATATTCCCTTTATAGTGCACTACTTATGACCAGGGGTCTGGTAAAAAGAAGTGCACTAGCCTATATAGGGAATATAGCCATTAGAGACACAACCAGAGAAAGGCATTTCATGTTGTCAATGATGTCACAAGCTTGCATAGTCCACATTGTTACAGCTAGTGTCCTGGGATGTCAATAGTGCTCTCTGTTTCTCCATTATGCTTATAGGACTAGCTCCCAGCCAAACCAGCAGGCTTATCTCAATGCCTCACATACTAACACCGTACATCTCAACATGTAGGCAGCCCTGCAGGGCTTTCCCATGGTAGTGATAAGACAGTGGACATTAGGTATTAGGTCTTTTTTTAAAGTTTACTTTTCTAAGTTATTCTTTTCCCACATAGCAGTCAAATACATATTGTAAATGCATGGTAAATACATGGTAAATACATGGTAAATACATGGTAAATACATGGTAAAAACATGTTAAATACATGGTAAATACATGGTAAATACATGGTAAATGCATGGTAAATACATGGTAAATACATGGTAAATACATGTTAAATACATGGTAAATACATGGTAAATGCATGGTAAATACATGGTAAATACATGGTAAATACATGTTAAATACATGTTAAATACATGGTAAATACATGGTAAATGCATGGTAAATACATGGTAAATGCATGGTAAATACATGGTAAATACATGGTAAATACATGTTAAATGCATGGTAAATACATGGTAAATACATGGTAAATACATGGTAAATACATGGTAAATGCATGTTAAATGCATGGTAAATACATGGTAAATACATGGTAAATACATGGTAAATGCATGGTAAATACATGTTAATACATGGTAAATACATGGTAAATACATGGTAAATGCATGGTAAATACATGGTAAATGCATGGTAAATACATGGTAAATGCATGGTAAATACATGGTAAAAACATGTTAAATTTATGGGAAAGTTCAAATGCACAAGATATTAGATATGATAAAACACAGAAACAGAGGAGAAGGAAAAGCCTACAGTGAGGGAAAAAAGTATTTGATCCCCTGCTGATTTTGTACGTTTGACCACTGACAAAGACATGATCAATCTATAATTTTAATGGTAGGTTTATTTGAACAGTGAGAAACAGAATAACAACAACAAAAAATCCAGAAAAACGCATGTCAAAAATGTTATAAATTGATTTTCATTTTAATGAGGGAAATAATTATTTGACCCCTCTGCAAAACATGACTTAGTACTTGGTGGCAAAACCCTTGTTGGCAATCACAGAGGTCAGACGTTTCTTGTAGTTGGCCACCAGGTTTGCACACATCTCAGGAGGGATTTTGTTCCACTCCTCTTTGCAGATCTTCTCCAAGTCATTAAGGTTTCGAGGCTGACGTTTGGCAACTCGAACCTTCAGCTCCCTCCACAGATTTTCTATGGGATTAAGGTCTGGAGACTGGCTAGGCCACTCCAGGACCTTAATATGCTTCTTCTTGAGCCACTCCTTTGTTGCCTTGGTCGTGTGTTTTGTCATGCTGGAATACCCATCCACAACCCATTTTCAATGCCCTGGCTGAGGGAAGGAGGTTCTCACCCAAGATTTGACAGTACATGGCCCCATCCATCGTCCCTTTGATGCGGTGAAGTTGTCCTGTCCCCTTAGCAGAAAAATACTGCCAAAGCATAATGTTTCCACCTCCATGTTTGACGGTGGGGATGGTGTTCTTGGGGTCATAGGCAGCATTCCTCCTCCTCCAAACACGGCGAGTTGAGTTGATGCCAAAGAGCTCGATTTTGGTCTCATCTGACCACAACACTTTCACCCAGTTCTCCTCTGAATCATTCAAATGTTCATTGGCAAACTTCAGACGGCCCTGTATACGTGCTTTCTTGAGCAGGGGGACCTTGCGGGCACTGCAGGATTTCAGTCCTTCACGGCGTAGTGTGTTACCAATTGTTTTCTTGGTGACTATGGTCCCAGCTGCCTTGAGATCATTGACAAGATCCTCCCGTGTAGTTCTGGGCTGATTCCTCACCGTTCTCATGATCATTGCAACTCCACGAGGTGAGATCTTGCATGGAGCCCCAGGCCGAGAGAGATTGACAGTTCTTTTGTGTTTCTTCCATTTGCGAATAATAAACTGTTGTCACCTTCTCACCAAGCTGCTTGGCGATGGTCTTGTAGCCCATTCCAGCCTTGTGTAGGTCTACAATCTTGTCCCTGACATCCTTGGATAGCTCTTTGGTCTATGGTGTAGAGTTTGGAATCTGATTGATTGATTGCTTCTGTGGACAGGTGTCTTTTATACAGGTAACAAGCTGAGATTAGGAGCACTCCCTTTAAGAGTGTGCTCCTAATCTCAGCTCGTTACCTGTATAAAAGACACCTGGGAGCCAGAAATCTTTCTGATTGAGAGGGGGTCAAATACTTATTTCCCTCATTAAAATGCAAATCAATTTATAACATTTTTGACATGCGTTTTTCTGGATTTTTTTGTTGTTATTCTGTCTCTCACTGTTCAAATGAACCTACCATTAAAATTATAGACTGATAATTTCTTTGTCAGTGGGCAAACGTACAAAATCAGCAGGGGATCAAATACTTTTTTCCCTCACTGTATGTTCTGTTTGAAGAGAGAGATGTTTTTGTCCTCTGTGTTGTATCCTCTGGCGCCAATTTTGATGACCAATTTTGGCCGTGAAGGGGAAGGGGGTAATGGTAACGCCGTTCCTCTGCATTTCGAGGTTCCTTTAAAGTGACTGCTCCAGCCACGGCTGCAATCCAAGGCATGCATTGATTAAAGGGCAAAGCATGCAGAGTAGGAAATAGGCCTAATCTCTACCGCCAGCACCGTCACAGTTACAGTGCCCATGCACACTCTGTGGCTGCAACCACATGACTAACCACCGTTTTCTTTGACATATGAATAATTGTCTCAGTGAAAGTTTCCTTACATCTGAAACAACATAGGCTACTGTAATGCTTGTGACACTATGTATAAATCTTGTAATATAGTTTAACAGTTGTTGGTAGTATGAACACTTTGTAGCTGGAACAACCACGGTTGTCATTGACAAATCAATTACTGTACTGTCTATCCAAATATATACAGGCATTATGTAGTAATACTGTCATATAGGCTACAGCAACAGCTGTTGGTGCTCTTTACACTCAGGGTGACACTTCCACAAAAAGCTTGACTTTAAGTTAATATGTGTCACCCAGAGAGGTATCAGTAAGTCATTACATTAAAGGAATACCCCAGGTTACTGGATTGACATTGTCCTGGGAATGTGTCCCAAATGGCACCCTATTCTCTACATAGTACACTACTTTTGAACAGGGTACATAGGGCTCTGGTGAAAAGTAGTGCACTATATAGGGAATAGGGCACCATTTGGGATGCAAACACTGATGGCGTTCCCGGGACAGCACAATATATTGGAAAAGGAGCCCCACGTTGCGGACGACATTTCCATACGCTGTTTACACACTGTGAAATTCACAGGGGGACCATGTGGGTGTTCACAGGTATAATATTACACCAACCTGCCCTGTTTGCAGTCAGAGCATAAACAACATGTTACATGGCCTTTGCAGGTAAACACAAACAGACCTCGGCATCCTGCTGGTTCTAACTTTGATGAGTCTCTTTGATACTTAGTAGTACATCAATTGATCCAATGGATACAGACAGGACATTTACTCCTAATGTATGGTTAAGCAATAAGGCCCGAGGGGGTGTGGTAAATGGCCAATGTACCACTGCTAAGGGCTGTTCTTATGCACGACGCAACGCAGAGTACCTGGATACAGCCCTTAGCCGTGGTATATTCACCATATTCCACAAACCCCCGAGGTGCCTTGTTGCTATTATAAACTGGTTATCAACGTAATTAGAACAGTACTAATAAATGTTTTGTCATACCCGTGATATACCACGGCTTTCAGCCAATCGGCATTCAGGGTTGGACCCACCCAGTGTATAATAATAAATATGTATTGAGAACAAAAGGGAGAAAACAAACGCTGTGTGTGTTTTGTAGTGTGGGGCACTGGTGCAGCTGCAGTTGACTGAAGCCAATCCCAACCTGCTGGAGATCGGCAGCAACCAGGATGAAACCAAGAAACTACTGCATGAACACGAGCAGCTCCTGATCAAACTCAAGGTAATCATCTCATTGGAAATAGATGTCACCACCAGGGGGGTCCTGGGTGGTCCAGCGGTCAAAAGCACTGCACCGCAGTGCAGAGGCGCCACTACAGCCAATTGGTCCGGGGTAGGGGAGGGTTTGGCCGGTGGGGCTTTCCTTGGCTCATCGTGCTCTTGTGACAAGGCTGGGCGCCTGCAAGCTGACTCCGGTCATCAGTCTAACAGTGTTTCCTCCGACACATTGGTGCGGCAGACATCCGGGTCAAGCGAGCAGTGTGATATGAAGTAGGCAGCCAGGCGGGTCTTGTTTCGGAGGATGCATGACTCGACCTTCGACTCTCCCGAGCCCATTGAGGAGTTGCAGAGGAGTTAATTCAAGGAGCAAACGGAGGGGGGGGGGTGGGGGAATACGCTTGTGGCCATACCACCCTGAACACGCCTGTTCAGGGTCACACCTGGTTAGTACCGGGACGGGAGACCACCTGGGAATACCAGGTGCCGTAAGCTAAAAGAATATTCAACAAATATATATAAAAATGGCACCACAAGTGAGCTATAACTAATATGTCAGCTCAGGTGACATAGAACTACACTATTCTATTATTGATATGCCACTATTTTGACATGCGAACATATAACTACTCTATTCTATTATTGGTATGTCACTATTTTTACATATGCCAACATAGAACTACACTTTTATATTATTAATATGTCACTATTTTGAAATATATGTCAACATGTACAGTGGGGAGAACAAGTATTTGATACACTGCCGATTTTGCAGGTTTTCCTACTTAAAAAGCATGTAGAGGTCTGTAATTTTGTCAGGGTTGAGTGTAGAGGTAACGTGGAATCACACGCAGGACACACAGAGGTTCGAAACAGATGTCTTTAGTGAAGTCCAAGAAAACAAGCCAACCACGGCAACAGGCCACAGGCGAACAATACGCACACTGGTAAGTACCAAAAATAACAGCGTACAACGTGCGGGACTCTCTCTAACAAAAACGAATACAGAGAGAACAGAACAACGAACTAATAGAACACGTGACATCGAACAATTACACACAACACCTGACCAAACACAAGAGAACTAAATAGGACGCATAATGAACACTAACAAGGAACAGGTGTAACAAACAGACAAAACCAATCAAACATAGAAACATAGAACGGTGGCAGCTAGTACTCCGGAGACGACGACCGCCGAAACCGTGACAAATTTTTATCATAGGTACACTTCAACTGTGAGAGACGGAATCTAAAACAAAAATCCAGAAAATCACATTGTATGTTTTTTAAGTAATTAATTTGCATTTTATTGCATGACATAAGTATTTGATCACCTACCAACCAGTAAGAATTCCGGCTCTCACAGACCTGTTAGTTTTTCTTTAAGAAGCCCTCCTGTTCTCCACTCATTACGTGTATTAACTGCACCTGTTTGAACTCGTTACCTGTATAAAAGACACCTGTCCACACACTCAATCAAACAGACTCCAACCTCTCCACAATGGCCAAGACCAGTGAGTTGTGTAAGGACATCAGGGATAAAATTGTAGACCTGCACAAGGCTGGGATGGGCTACAGGACAATAGGCAAGCAGCTTGGTGAGAAGGCAACAACTGTTGGCGCAATTATTAGAAAATGGAAGAAGTTCAAGATGACGGTCAATCACCCTCGGTCTGGGGCTCCATGCAAGATCTCACCTCGTGGGGCATCAATGATCATGAAGAAGTTGAGGGATCAGCCCAGAACTACACGGCAGGACCTGGTCAATGACCTGAAGACAGCTGGGACCACAGTCTCAAAGAAAACCATTAGAAACACACTACGCCGTCATGGATTAAAATCCTGCAGCGCACGCAAGGTCCCCCTGCTCAAGCCAGCGCATGTCCAGGCCCGTCTGAAGTTTGCCAATGACCATCTGGATGATCCAGCGGAGGAATGGGAGAAGGTCATGTGGTCTGATGAGACAAAAATAGAGCTTTTTGGTCTAAACTCCACTCGCCGTGTTTGGAGGAAGAAGAAGGATGAGTACCACCCCAAGAACACCATCCCAACCGTGAAGCATGGAGGTGGAAACATCACTCTTTGGGGATGCTTTTCTACAAAGGGGACAGGACGACTGCACCGTATTGAGGGGAGGATGGATGGGGCCATGTATTGCGAGATCTTGGCCAACAACCTCCTTCCCTCAGTAAGAGCATTGAAGATGGGTCGTGGCTGGGTCTTCCAGCATGACATGACCCGAAACACACAGCCAGGGCAACTAAGGAGTGGCTCCGTAAGAAGCATCTCAAGGTCCTGGAGTGGCCTAGCCAGTCTCCAGACCTGAACCCAATAGAAAATCTTTGGAGGGAGCTGAAAGTCCGTATTGCCCAGCGACAGCCCCGAAACCTGAAGGATCTGGAGAATGTCTGTATGGAGGAGTGGCCCAAAATCCCTGCTGCAGTGTGTGCAAACCTGGTCAAGACCTACAGGAAACGTATGATCTCTGTAATTGCAAACAAAGGTTTCTCACAGTTGAAGTGTACCTATGATAAAAATTACAGACCTCTACATGCTTTGTAAGTAGGAAAACCTGCAAAATCGGCAGTGTATCAAATACTTGTTCTCCCCACTGTAACTACACTATTCTATTATTGATATGTCACTATTTTGACATATTCTAATGAGACCATGGTAGGCCATGAGGATGAGCTGCCCATTGAGAATATGAGTTAAGTTGTTTTGAGTGCGGCACACATCATGCTTCATTGACATCATGGCCAATGTTGAACGTTTGTCATTTTAAGCTTGGAAAAGAGACCCTTAATCACAGCCACTCCACTGAATATCAGGCTAGTGATTGCTTTGCAATGCTTGCAGTAAGCCACTGATTCCTTCCAAACCACTCATTGTTGAATATGTGATTTCCAACTTGTGTAATGTTTATGTCCAATGGCCGATGAGCACCGATACGTTTTATCTATAATTTCTCTTCATTTTTTCTCTTGATATGACAAGGATTAAAAACGATTTGCCAATAGATTGTCGACTTGATTCATGATGATGACTGCTAGCTAAGATTTTGAAAGTATGATGTTGACATGATCAGTCCAATCAAAGCTACTGTAGATATAATGTGATTTGAGGTCATTTTATCTGTGGCCAATGACCTTGAGACTTCTTGGATGGGCACTTCTAATGTAACTCTATGGCAGCACCCAAGGGGCTTGAATTTTCGAGCTCTACCCTTAGACTTGGCGGTGACGTAGTGTTCCCATGAGTGACGGAACACTGAGCCAATCACGGCACAACTAGAGAACATTACCAACACCTACACTCCGTATTTTCGGCTGGCTGCCCCACCACAGAAAGCACTGAGCTAGGCTGAAACACCTTCCTTTTGGAGCTGCCTTACTCAAGAAAGCAAAAAAGCTGCTTTATTAACTCAAGTATCATTATTTATTTATTTGTACATTGTTTGCAAACTGATATGTGACACGTATTAATGCCAAAATAACATGCAAAACAGGCAAGGCCCCAAAAACTTTTTTTTTTGCTAGAAATGTGGGGCTCAAAACAGGTGTCCCACCTGCCCTGAATGACGGGTTGCCACATTATTATTCAAAACAATGCATTCTAATATAAATCGCACACACACCTCGCTCTCCCGGCTTTGGTGAGTTTAGGCCATTAGGCTATGATTAAAGCTTCTTCAGTCCCATCCTTGTTTTACTATAACTCGTTGAGACACCATCAATGCTTTTCTTGTCTCAGAGATGGAGCGTCAAACTACTTCAGTCACTTTCATTGCCTCAGCCTAGGTGGAAGGTGGAATGTTCACTGCAGCCCTTTCAACGTTGATTTATATTATTTCCACTCAAAGCTTTTCCCCCGGCCTTGTTATAGACAATGGCTATTTAGATCCAGGCTATTCATTACTATTGCCAAGAACTCATTCACTATTTTTACCTACTGCCAGGTGTTTTAGTTATGTCTGAGTGCTGAGCATGTTCCATCCTGTTTTATACAAGTATGATATTATTGGCATAAGCATGTGAACAATTGATATTATTAATGTCAATGTTCCAGTAGCCTAGCGGTTAAGAGCGTTGGGCCAGCAACTGAAAGGTCGCTGGTTTGAATCCCTGAGCCGACTAGGTAGAAAATCTGTCGATGTGCCCTTGAGCAAGGCACTTAACCCTAAGCTCCTGTAAGTCGCTCTGGATAAGAGCGTCTGCTAACTAAAATGTAATTTTCCAGTAAGATATCAGAGTAACTACAGATTTAAACCCCTGAACAACAGCTCTAATCACAGAGAGGTTTTATCACAAAAACAATCCAAAACAGATTTGAATACAAACTTGCCATGTCCTTGTTTTATCCAATGCTTTTAATTCAGTTTACCAGCAGCAATCTCATAGCAAGCCTTTGAACATTTAAAATGTGTAGCTTACCATAGTGCAATTGAACAAAATGTCAATGAATCGCTCCATTAACAATGTCGATTTACATGCATATGGTAATTGTATGTTTTTTATGTTCAGAGAATGTCAGTATTGTACTCAACGACCATGTAATGTACAGTGAGCTCCAAAAGTATTGGGACAGTGACAAATGTTTTATTGTTTTGGCTCTGTACTCCAGCACTCTGGATTTGAAATTATACAATGACTATGAGATGAATGTACAGACTGACAGCTTTAATTTGAATATTGGGACAAATTCACTTATATGTGTATTAAAGTAGTCAAAAGTTGAGTATTTGGTCCCACATTCCTAGCATGTTGCACTTGTTGGATGCATTTTCTGTTTGTTTTGGTTTTGTTTGAGTTTATTTTATGCCCAATAGAAATGAATGGTAAATAATGTATTGTGTCATTTTGGAGTCACTTTTATTGTAAATAAAAATAGAATATGTTTCTAAACACTTCTACATTAATGTGGATGCTACCATGATTACAGCTAGTCCTGAATGAATCGTGAATAATTATGATTGATAAAGTTACAGACGCACAAATATCCTACCCCCAAGACAAGCTAACCTCTCACCATTACAATAACTGGTTAGATGATTTTTGTATGCCTCTGTAACTTTATTAATCATTACATTTACATTTACATTTTAGTCATTTAGCAGACGCTCTTATCCAGAGCGACTTACAGGAGCAATTAGGGTTAAGTGCCTTGCTCAAGGGCACATTTACGTCATTTAGCAGACGCTCTTATCCAGAGCGACTTACAAATTGGTGCATTCACCCTATAGCCAGTGGGATAACCACTTTAAAATATCATTTTTTTTTTTTTTGGGGGGGTGGGGGGGGGGGGGGGGGGGGTGGAAGGATTACTTTATCCTATCCCAGGTATTCTACTATTCAGGTAATCATCATTATTCCCGATGAATTCAGAATGATCCGTAATCATAGTAGCATCCACATGAATGTAGAGATGTTTAGAAACATATTATATTCTTATTTATAATAAAAGTGACTCCATTCATTTCTATTGGGCACAAAATACTCTGAAACACAACCGAAAATGCATCCAACAAGTTTGTAAAGTCGCAAGATTTATGTAGTCATTGCGTGCTATGAATATGGGACCAAGTACTTAACTTTTTACTACTTTATTACACAAAAGTGAATTTGTTCCAATGCTTTTGGTCCCCTAAAATGGGGGGATCTTGTACAAAAAGTGCTGTTATTTTAAATGGGTCACCCAATATGGATGAAAATACCCTTAAATGAAAGCTGACAGTCATTGTATCATTTCAAATCCAAAGTACTGGAGTGCAGAGCCAACAAAAGATGTGTCACTGTTCCAATACTTTTGGAGCTCACTGTACAAATTGGTGCCAGCCCGTTGTAAGGCAGTTTTGCTAATAAGAATGTAGCCAGCAAAAAAAGCGGTCCATTTACAATGTTAATTTACATGCAAGTATATGGTAATGCAACAATTTTTTATAAGGCAGTGCTCTAAACAGAATGCCTCCTCTGTGTCAGAAACATGAGTGAGAATCCAAAAAAGGAGGCCTGTATAATATAATAATATAATATGCCATTTAACAGATGCTTTTATCCAAAGCGACTTACAGTCATGTGTGCATACATTTTTACGTATGGGTGGTCCCGGGGATCGAACCCACTACCCTGGCGTTACAAGCGCCATGCTCTACCAATTGAGCTACAGAGGACCACATATATGTATAATGCAGAGAAGATACTTGAATGAACTAGGTACAGTATATCTTACAGACTTCTGTCTTTTTTTGTATGATCCTCTTGTTGTGTAGAGTAAATGTTGCTAATTATGCTGTGAAACCAAGGAGTCCGCTTATACTGTACTTTGATTATACGTTTTATTTATATCACAAGATTTCAGCATAAGTTTACAGACGTCTGCAGCATCTGGAGAACAGTGTCCCAAAATAATATGTCTGTTCTGATCTTCTTTGTCTCAAACCAGTACTTATAATCTTTACCAGGATATGGGTGGTTTCCCATACTGACCAATCACCTGTCTCCACACAACAGACTTCCTCTGTTCTATGGGGTGTCCCTCTAAAACTGCTCCCCCTAAAACTGAATAAACATCCTCTCAGGTTCCACTTTGAAAACATTAGCAAAGTCATAATCCCTCAGACACTACACTCTCTCTCTTTCCAGAAACATGAAGCAGGTGTGTGGGCCTTGCTGGAGGAGGCAGACAGGACGGCAGAGGAGAAGGAGGATGAAGGGGAGGTGTACGAGGCCATGGCTGACTCGCTGAGCGATGCCTGGAGAACCCTGATCTCACTGCTAGAGAAGCGCCGGTCGCTGCTACACCTGGCATCCGAGTTCTTCGACAGGGCTCTCGAGGTAGGAGCTGGGCAAACAGAAACAGAGCTGTTATAGTTACATAAAGCATAAAAAACATACATTACATTTACGTCATTTAGCAGACGCTCTTATCCAGAGCGACTTACAGTTAGTGAATACATATTTTTTTTATACTGGCCCCCCGTGGGAATTGAACCCACAACCCTGGCATTGCAAACACCATGCTCTATCAACTGAGCTACATCCCTGCCGGCCATTCCCTCCCCTACCCTGGACAACGCTGGGCCAATTGTGCGCCGCCCATGAGTCTCCCGGTCACGGCCACCTGCAACAGAGCCTGGATTCGAACCAGGATCTCTAGTGGCACAGTTAGCACTGCGATGCAGTGCCTTAGACCACTGCGCCACTCAGGAGTATATGATCTCACTGCTAGAGTGCTGGTCACTGCTACACATGGCCTCCGAGTTCATTGACATGGCCCTCGAGGTAGGAAGGCTAACAGAAAGGAGATGTTATAGCTACATAGACCATACATAGACCCTGAGCTCACTGCTAGAGAAGTGCTGGTCACTGCTACACCTGGCCTTAAGAGTTCTTTGACGGGGCACTTGATGTATGAGCCGGGCTAACAAACAGACCGTTATAGCTACATAGAACAGACATGGAGCATACATAGACCAGACATAGACCCTAACAGATCAGAGCTGTTTTTCAGTTCATGTACATGTAGGCAATGCCACAGGGGTTTTCATTGTACTAAGCCTGTTAGAAAGTGGAATTTCAACCAGTTCTTTGTTTTTCATGATCATTGTTTGTTGGAGGAAATATATTATTACGGTCGTGCTACTGTTAGTGCATCTGTTTCCTCCTGTGAAGTTTACTTCAAAAGACAAAAGAAAACAGTTAATTGTTTTATCAGCTTTGTTAGCATTTGTGTCAACGTAGATAACATTGTAACCGAGAAGGGGCTGTTTGTACTGCAATTAGATATCAGGGGAATTTACTGCCAGTGTCACAATGGTGCAGTTTCCATGCCATTAGTCCACAAACAGCGTTGCGTTTTGTGATAATGTAGGCCTATGTGCTGTAACTTACCCACGCTCTAAAGGCTGGCCACCCTGGGTGCTGCCGCACAAAGCAGCAGCACATTGAGTTGGTGTGATGATTATGAAACATGATGAGCGGTAGTGTGAAAGATAAAGGAAGCAGATGGTTCCCCCTGGATAACCTCACTGTGGATGTGACTGAGAATTAAACAAATAGCAGAACTGTTTGTACTGTCTGTCCTTTTACATGTTTCATCACAGACCAAACAGTGCTCCTTTTTCTATGTTTTACTTCTTTATTAAATCTATTGTTAATGTACGAAGCCTTTGGAGATCTCCATGAATAAATGTGCAAACTCAGAGCACATACTAAATCAAATCAAATGTATTGGTCACAAACACATGGTTAGCAGATGTTATTGCGAGTGTAGCGAAATGCTTGTGCTTCTAGTTCCAACAGTGCAGTAATATCTAGCAAGTAATATCTAACAGCTCCACAACAAATATCTAATACACACAAATCTATGTAAAGGAATGGAATAAGAATATATAAATATATGGATGAGCAATGTCATTGTCAGAGCGGCATAGGCTAAGATGCAATAGATAGTATAGAATACAGCATATACATATGAGATGGATAATGCAAGATATGTAAACATTATTAAAGTGGCATTATTAAAGTGACTAGTGTTCCATTTATTAAAGTGGCCAGTGATTTTCAAGTCTGTATGTAGGCAGCAGCCTTTCTGTGCTAGTGATGGGTGTTTAACAGTCTGATGGCCTTGAGATAGAAGCTGTTTTTCAGTCTCTCGGTCCCAGCTTTGATGCACCTGTACTGACCTCGTCTTCTGGATGATAGCGGGGTGAACAGGCAGTGGCTCGGGTGGTAGTTGTCCTTGATTATCTTTTTGGCCTTCCTGTGACATCGGGTGCTGTAGGTGTCCTGGAGGGCAGGTAGTTTGCCCCCGGTGATGCGTTGTGCAGACCACACCACCCTCTGGAGAGCCCTGCGGTTGCGGGTGGTGCAGTTGCCGTACCAGGCGGTGATACAGCCTGACAGAATGCTCTCAATTGTGCATCTGTAAAAGTTTGTGATGGTTTTAGGTGACAGGGCACATTTCTTCAGCCTCCTGAGGTTGAAGAGACTATGTTGCGCCTTCTATACCACACTGTCTGTGTGGGTGGACCATTTCAGTTTGTCAGATATATGTACGCCGAGGAACTTAAAACTTTCCACCTTCTCCACTGCTGTCCTGTCAATGTGGATAGGGGGGTACACCCTCTGCTGTTTCCTGAAGTCCACGATAATTTCCTTTGTTTCATTGACATTGAGTGAGAGGTTATTTTCCTGACACCACACTCTGAGAGCCCTCACCTCCTCCCTGTAGGCTGTCTCATCGTTGTTGGTAATCAAGCCTACTACTGTTGTGTCGTCTGCAAACTTGATGATAGAGTTGGAGGCGTGCATTGCTACGCAGTCATGGGTGAACAGGGAGTACAGGAGGGGGCTGAGCACACACCCTTGTGGGGCCCCAGTGTTGAGGATCAGCGAGGTGGAGGTGTTGTTTCCTACCTTCACCACCTGGGGGCGGCCCGTCAGGAAGTCCAGGACCCAATTGCACAGGGTGGGGTTGAGACCCAGGTCCTCAAGCTTAATGATGAGCTTGGAGGGTACTATGGTGTTGAATGCTGAGCTATAGTCAATGAACAGCCTTCTTACATAGGTATTCCTCTTGTCCAGATTGGATAGGGCTGTGTGCAGTGTGATGGCAATTGCATCGTCTGTGGACCTATTGGGGCGGTAAGCAAATTGAAGTGGGTCTAGGGTGACAGGTAAGGTGGAGGTGATGTGATCCTTGACTAGTCTCTCAAAGCACTTAATGATGACAGAAGTGAGTGCTACGGGGCGATAGTCATTTAGTTCAGTTACCATTGCATTCTTGGGTACAGGAACAATGGTGGCCATCTTGAAGCATGTGGGGACAGCAGACTGGGATAGGGAGAGATTGAATATGTCCGTAAACACACCAGCCAGCTGGTCTGCGCATGCTCTGAGGACGCGGCTAGGAATGCCGTCTGGGCCGGCAGCCTCGCGAGGGTTTACACGTTTAAATTAGGCTAAATTACACTGTTGTCTAACAATACAGATAGATTAACACTGTATTCCTCCACCTCCTTCACTGCTGTCTAACTATACAGATATATTAACTATGTCTTCCTCCACCTCCTTCACTGTTGTCTAACTATACAGATAGATGAACTATGTCTTCCTCCACCTCCTTCACTGTTGTCTAACTATACAGATAGATGAACTGTCTTCCTCCACCTCCTTCACTGTTGTCTAACTATACAGATATATGAACTATGTCTTCCTCAACCTCCTTCACTGTTGTCTAACTATACAGATAGATGAACCATGTCTTCCTCCACCTCCTTCACTGTTGTCTAACTATACAGATAGATGAACCATGTCTTCCTCAACCTCCTTCACTGTTGTCTAACTATACAGATAGATGAACTATGTCTTCCTCCATCTCCTTCACTGTTGTCTAACTATACAGATATATGAACTATGTCTTCCTCCACCTCCTTCACTGTTGTCTAACTATACAGATATATGAACTATGTCTTCCTCCACCTCCTTCACTGTTGTCTAACTATACAGATAGATGAACTATGTCTTCCTCCACCTCCTTCACTGTTGTCTAACTATACAGACAGATGAACTATGTCTTCCTCAACCTCCTTCACTGTTGTCTAACTATACAGATAGATGAACCATGTCTTCCTCAACCTCCTTCACTGTTGTCTAACTATACAGATAGATGAACTATGTCTTCCTCCATCTCCTTCACTGTTGTCTAACTATACAGATAGATGAACTATGTCTTCCTCCACGTCCTTCACTGTTGTCTAACTATACTGATAGATTAACTATGTCTTCCTCCACGTCCTTCACTGTTGTCTAACTATACAGATAGATGAACTATGTCTTCCTCCATCTCCTTCACTGTTGTCTAACTATACAGATATATGAACTATGTCTTCCTCCACCTCCTTCACTGTTGTCTAACTATACAGATATATGAACTATGTCTTCCTCCACCTCCTTCACTGTTGTCTAACTATACAGATAGATGAACTATGTCTTCCTCCACCTCCTTCACTGTTGTCTAACTATACAGATAGATGAACTGTCTTCCTCAACCTCCTTCACTGTTGTCTAACTATACAGATAGATGAACTATGTCTTCCTCCATCTCCTTCACTGTTGTCTAACTATACAGATAGATGAACTATGTCTTCCTCAACCTCCTTCACTGTTGTCTAACTATACAGATAGATGAACCATGTCTTCCTCAACCTCCTTCACTGTTGTCTAACTATACAGATAGATGAACTATGTCTTCCTCCATCTCCTTCACTGTTGTCTAACTATACAGATAGATGAACTATGTCTTCCTCCACGTCCTTCACTGTTGTCTAACTATACAGATAGATGAACTATGTCTTCCTCCACGTCCTTCACTGTTGTCTAACTATACAGATAGATGAACTATGTCTTCCTCCACGTCCTTCACTGTTGTCTAACTATACTGATAGATTAACTATGTCTTCCTCCACGTCCTTCATTGTTGTCTAACTATACTGATAGATTAACTATGTCTTCCTCCACCTCCTTCACTGTTGTCTAATTATACAGGTAGATTCACTTTCTTCCTCCACCTCCTTCACTGTTGTGTAATTATACAGATATATGAACTGTCTTCCTCCATCTCCTTCACTGTTGTCTAATTATACAGATATATTAACTATGTCTTCCTCCACCTCCTTCACTGTTGTGTAATTATACAGATATATGAACTGTCTTCCTCAACCTCCTTCACTGTTGTCTAACTATACAGATATATGAACTATGTCTTCCTCCATCTTCTTCACTGTTGTCTAATTATACAGATAGATTAACTATGTCTTCCTCCACCTCCTTCAGTTTGCTATCAGAATAGACGAGGCAGAAGAGTTCCAGAGCAGAGGGCAGGAGCTGGTAGACACTGAGTGTCTGAAAGAACTGCTCATGAAACACAGCGTTATGAAGAGAGGTGGGTATATGTTGATACATCTATAGTACAGCATTTACACGACCCAAAGCTGGACTAATTCATTAATTATTTCTGTTTTGGCCCATATCTTTTGCAAATCAAAAAATAGATTATGCACATTACAATCTATGCTCCCATGTGGTATGTTGGTGACAATGTTTTGACCACTTAGGTTTTCATCAGGTCCATATTGTTTTGACGTCCAGCACCTGCTCAAATACATTGTATGTGTGCATGTAATCATCTTTTCTTATTCTGGCCCATATCTGTCCCTCGGGTCTACTGGAGAAGTCAATGCTGGTTCTTAACAAGAGTGTCTTTCTAATGAGAAACGTTTAAATGGTATCACGTAATTCAGCTTTTTGCTGCTATTGGCACTATGTAATGCCTCCAAGTAATAGTAAATAAACCAATCCCTCTCTCTCTCTTTCTCTATTGCTTTCTTGCTCTCTCTCTCCTCTGTCGTCCACACCTCCCCATCCTTCCCCTCTTCCCCCAGGCCTCCTGGAGAAGTCAATGTTGGTTCTGAATAAGAGTTGTGATCTTCTAGACTTCCTGAGAGAGTTTCAGACTGAGGAGGGTCTTCAGAGGAGTGATGCGTTGAGAGGGGCTGACAGCAGCTATGGCCGGGTGGAGAGTCTGATGGAGATACTGCAGGACAGGAGGAGACAGGTGGATCAACACATGAAGCAGCAGCTCCTTGACCTGGAAGTGATCCTCAACATCTACCAATGGGATCGCCAGGAACAGGAAGTGAGTCACAAAATGTCAGGAAATGTCTATCTAAGATCAATCTGTGTCAGAAATCTCCTTTTGACTTAAAACTTTCACCGACCTCAGGGATGGCAACTTTGATGGGGGTGGGGGCCCAAAAAAATCTGAACTCATCATGAGTTGCCTGCCCCCAAGTAGAGTAGAAACAAATGTTCTGTGGCATGACAGTTGTCACGCTCGTCGGGAACAGAGGAGGACCAAGGCGCAGCGTTGCAGGCAAACATACTCTTTATTTAGAGACACGATCAAAACAACAAACGATACGTGACAGTTCACGGTCTAACATAAACAGACTAGAAACAAGATCCCACAAACTCTGTGGGGAAACAGGCTGCTAAAGTATGGTTCTCAATCAGAGACAACAAGCAACAGCTGAATCACGTTGCCTCTGATTGAGAACCACACTGGCCAACATAGAACCACAATACCAGAATGTGAAACCTAGAACAACACACATAGACTTTACACACCCTGGCTCAACATATTAGAGTCCCCAGAGCCAGGGCGTGACAGTACCCCCCCCTAAAGGCGCGGACTCCGACCGCGCCCACCAAACACCACAGGGGAGGGACCGGGTGGGCACTCCGCTTAGGCGGCGGATCCGGCTCCGGGCCTGATCCCCGCTCCCTCTCCAACCCCCCAAAGTACCCCTGGTCCGGTCTGGCCCCGCTGGCCGGAGCTGGACTGCACACTGGTGGAGCGGATTGCTCTAGCTCCGGCGTGAAGCATCTGACCGGTGCCGGACCAGCCACCGGTGGAACAGGCACGGGCCGTGCCGGACTGACGACGCACACCACTGGCTTGGTGTGGGGAGCAGGAGCGGGCCGAGCCGGGCTGACGAAACGCACCACTGACTTGGTGCGGGGAGCAGGAGCGGGCCGGACCGGGCTGACGAAGCGCACCACTGACTTGGTGCGGGGAGCAGGAACGGGCCGTGCCGGGCTGACGAAGCGCACCACTGACTTGGTGCGGGGAGCAGGAACGGGCCGAGCTGGGCTGACGAAGCGCACCACTGACCTGGTGCGGGGAGCAGGAACGGGCCGGACAGGGCTGACGAAATGCACCACTGACTTGGTGCGGGGAGCAGGAATGGGCCGGACCGGGCTGACGACGCGCACCACTGACCTGGTGCGGGGAGCAGGAATGGGCCGGACCGGGCTGACGACGCGCACCACTGACCTGGTGCGGGGAGCAGGAACGGGCCGGACAGGGCTGACGAAACGCACCACTGACTTGGTGCGGGGAGCAGGAATGGGCCGGCGACGCGCACCACAGACTTGGTGCGGGGAGCAGGAACAGGCCGGGCCGAGCTGGCGATGCGCACCGTAGACTTGGTGCGAGTGGCAGGAACAGGCCGGACCGTACTGGGAACACACACCACTGGCCCTACGTGGGGATCAGGAACAGGCCGGACCGGACTGGCAACACACGCCAGTACCTCTCGCCGTGCCTCTACATCCTCCTTCCCCCTGGTGACCAGTGACTCCCGTAACCTGGCGGCCTCCTGCTGCCCCGTCGTCCACGGCGTTAGCCCCCCCCTAAAAAATTTATGGGCTTCACTCCTACCCGTGGACCAGGTCTCCATGCTCCTCGCCAGCCTTTTGCCCTTCTGCCTCCACGTCAAGCCCCTCTCTTCCTCACATGGCTTGACCCAGTCGAGGAGGCGAAGGAGATCCGCTAGAGATCTCTCAGGCGCTGGCTCCTGGACTTGCTGCTTGGTCCAGTCTTGGTGGGATCTTCTGTCACGCTCGTCGGGAACAGAGGAGGACCAAGGCGCAGCGTTGCAGGCAAACATACTCTTTATTTAGAGACACGATCAAAACAACAAACGATACGTGACAGTTCACGGTCTAACATAAACAGACTAGAAACAAGATCCCACAAACTCTGTGGGGAAACAGGCTGCTAAAGTATGGTTCTCAATCAGAGACAACAAGCAACAGCTGAATCACGTTGCCTCTGATTGAGAACCACACTGGCCAACATAGAACCACAATACCAGAATGTGAAACCTAGAACAACACACATAGACTTTACACACCCTGGCTCAACATATTAGAGTCCCCAGAGCCAGGGCGTGACAACAGTTGGATAATAAGTATGGTATTAGAAAGTGCATCTGATATTGAAATGAGGGAATGCCTACCTAGAAAAATATGATACCTTCTGGCTTGTTGAGCCATATGGGGTCATGTGTTAAGATGCTGGAAGTACAGATGCCTCTGGGTTTAATATTCTATCTACTGCTTAGTGTAAGGAAGAGCAGTCATGCAGTATATAACTCTTCCTTTGAAATAATTTACATAAGTACCCAAGTATAAATGCATTAATGTCCTGACTGCAGTTATAATGTATGGTATTTTTTTCAGGTAACCCACTGGTTCAAAAACAAAGCTGACTTGTACTTTGAAAAAGATAATTTGGGCTCAACTCTCACAGAAAATAAAGAGCTCCTTCAGGAATACAAAGAGTTTGAAGAAAAAGCCAAGGTATGATACTTTAAATATGAATACACTTTGGGACATATTTGCCAAGTGGTTGACTGATATTTTCAACAGTAAACAACAAAGCTATAACATAAAACTTATATATTAGGGCATGTCCAATTTTACTGTATATTTGTGACTATTATAATGCTGGGGCCATGAGCACGACAGCTAAGTGACTTTAGTATAGAAAACATACTTGATCTACAGCCAATCTAATATTCCCTGTGTGTCTGTGTGCGTGTGTGTGCGTGCTTGCGTCCTGTTCTGCAGGACTGGAGTGTGTTGGTGGAGAAACTGCTAGTTCAGTCTTCAGAGCTGCTAGTGGGGGAAGCAGAAGGCCATGCTGAGGCTGAGACGGGCCATGTCTCTGAGAGGAGTGTGGCTCTCAAAGCCTTGCACAAACACTTTTGGAACCTCATGATGGGCCGGCTGGCACAGCTACAGGAGAGCAACGCCTTCTTCAGCAGCGCCAACAAGGTACAGACACAACTGACTACTGTATATAACCCCGCTTAGGAGAGTAGGTACTGAATCAGCAGTAGAAAGTAGCTAGTGCAACAATACATATCACCTACAGGAGAGCAATGGCTTCTTTAACAGTGCCAACAAGGGACAGTGCCTTCTCTACATGTTTTGTGGCCATAAATGATCAGGGCCAACAAGGTAATTACTGATTAGTGTACATATAGATAAAACGGTTCTATATCTATGCTAGTGTACATGTAATGAGAGAAATGCCTTCAGTGCCGTCAAGATTGTTACTGTAACTGTGCATATCATCAAATCAAATCAAATCAAATTGTATTTGTCACATGCGCAGAATACAACAGGTCTTACCTTACCGTGAAATGCTTACTTACGAGCCCTTAACCAACAATGCAGTTTTAAGAAAGTAGAGTTAAGAAAATATTTACAAAATAAACTAAAGTAAAAAAAAGTAAACAATAAAATAACACTAATGAGGCTATATACAGGGGGTACCGGTACCACCTTCTTAAGCACTGCCAATAAGGTACTGTCGCTTTAACAAAGAAATGGAGGCTAAACTTGTAGGATATAGTCAGACCATCCAAAAATATGCTCTCTTGCCAGATAGCTGCAGTTAGTCTTTATTTAGTTGACATGTCCATGTAGGAAGATTAAAACAACGCAAACAAATCTGCTACTGCCAAATCGTTACGGTTTCACACGACCTAATGTACATATCATGTGCCACCTTCTTTAGCATGCCAACAGGGTAGCTAGAATACTGTACAAATCATGTGCCTCTTTCTTTAGCAGTGCCAACCAGGTACCTAGTGTAGCTACTGTAGGCTTGTATTACATATCACCTTCAGGAAAGCCTTCTTTAGTAGTTCCAACAAGGTAGCTACTATACATGTAATATCATGTGCCCGACAAATATGTGAAGAGTGTAATTATTATTGCAGTACTAAGTGCTTACAACTGTCTTGGAGGTACTCTACACAAGAGTAGGGAACTAGTGACTTTAATTTGATTTGAACATGCTGCCCTCTACTGGACAATAAGGGTATAATATTTGCGCCATCTACTGCATCATGAATTATCACTGTTATTATAATGAGCAACATTACATTTATTCAGGACTTCTGCTGAACCATCTATCATGTTAACATTAATATTTAATGTATATTCTCCTATCCTCTCATTCATGTTTTGTCAGGCTTTTGAGGTCCTGGGAACTGTTGAGAGTAAACTTAAGGGGTTGAAGACCCAGACACTATGGTTGCCTGAGTTGGCCAAAAAGCATGAGGAGCTGTTGCGAAGCATCAAAGAGTCAGCCACCGACCCTCTTCAGAGAGGACAGCTCATACTGCATAAGGCCAACCCACAGAGGTAAGGTGCACGGCATCCATATTAGGACATCCTTAGTCCTCAGACTCAAAACGTCAAAACCACTCTGGTCAAGTTTAAAACCTGCTATGGTCAATAATAACCACAACCTGCTTATCACTGGTTTGGCAAACAGAGATTTTGAGTAACATGTGATTTCAATAGTAAAGATGTCACTGCTATCACTGTATTCTGAAATCAAATATACTTGTTATATGCAATGCCGTGTGTGCAAAATAGGCCTTTATATTAATAGATGGATGGATCAAGAATGCAGATAATATGATTAGTACATGGAGCATTTCACAGCAGACATGCCTCTTACTGTATTTCTAGTACCCAAGTGGAAGGCGTGAAAAGGATGCTAGGATATGTCAGAGACCGGGTTGATGCTCTGAGCCAAGAGTGCCATGCTCACCAAGCACTGGCAGCCAAGAGACAGCAGCTGGTGTCCCAATGTGAAGACCTCATGGACAAGGTACACTCAAGCCTTAGGTTTTGTCCCAAATGGCACCCTATTCCCTTTATATTGCACTACTTTTGACCAGGGCCCATAGGGCTCTGGTCAAAGGTAGTGCACAATATAGGAAAAAGGGTGCCGTTTGGGATGTACCCTTAGCTATCTTTTTATTGAGTTACATCTTTATTCTGAGCCTAGAGGAAAGTCTTTGTCCTCAGGCCTGGACGGAAGCCAAAGTAATTCCACTACCCAAGAGTGGTAAATCGGCCTTTACTGGTTCTAACAGCAGACCTATAAGCTTGCTGCGAGCTCTTAGCAAACTGTGGGAAAAAATTGTGTTTGACCAACCAAATACAACGCTATTTCTCTGTAAACAAATTAACAACAGATGTTCAGCATACTTATACGTAGAGAAGGGCACTCAACATGTACTGCACTGACCCAAATGACTGGTTGAAAGAATTTGATAATAAGAAGATTGTGGGAGCTGTACTGTTTTCAGTGCAGCCTTTGATATTATTGACCATAACCTGTTGTTGAAAAAACGTATGTGTTATGGCTTTTCAACCTCTGCCATATCGTGGATTCAGAGCTATCTATCAAATAGAACTCAAAGGGTTTTCTTTAATGGAAGCTTCTCTAATGTCAAACATATAAAGTGTGGTGTACCGCAGGGCAGCTCTCTAGGCCCTCTACTCTTTTGTATTTTTACCAATGACCTGCCACTGGCATTGAACAAAGCATGTGTGTCCATGCTGATGATTCAACCATATACGCATCAGCAACCACAGCTAATGAAGTCACTGAAACCCTTAACAAATAGTTGTCGTCTGTTTTGGAATGGGTGGTCAGTAATAAACTTGTCCTGAACATCTCTAAAACTAAGAGCATTGTATTTGGTACAAATCATTCCCTAAGTTTTAGACCTCAGCTGAATCTGGTAATGAATGGTGTGGCTGTTGAACAAGTTGAGGAGACTAAATTACTTCGCGTTACCTTAGATTGTAAACTGTCATGGTCAAAACATATAGATTCAATGGTTGTAAGATGGGGAGAGGTTTGTCTGTAATAAAGAAATGCTCTGCTTTTTTGACACCACACTCCAAAAAGCGAGTCCTATAGGCTCTAGTTTTATCTTATCTTGAATATTGTCCAGTCATGTGGTCGAGTGCTGCAAGGAAAGACCTAGTTAAGCTACAGCTGGCCTAGAACAGAGCAGCACGTCTTGCTCTTCATTGTAATCAGAGGGCTGATATACAGTGCATTCGGAAAGTATTCAGACCACTTTACTTTTTCCACATTTTGTTATGTTACAGCCTTATTCTAAAATTGATTAAATTGTTTTTTCCCCTCATCAATATACACAGAATGCCCCATAATGACAAAGCAAATACTGTAAATACTATGCATGCCAGTCTCTCTTGGTTAAGAGTTGACGAGAGACTGACTGCATCAGTTATTTTTATAAGAAACATTAATGTGTTGAAAATCCCAAATTGTTTGCATTGTCAATTTACACACAGCTCTGACACACACACTTACCCCACCAGACATACAAACAATATTTTGGGAGATTGCAAAATATTACCTTTTCATTCAAGAGAAAGATATTGTTTCAGTTGATAATAAAACATTTTTAGTTGTTTCTATAACTTGTTCTATAACTTTCTAGCAAGTCAAGCTATCTTACAGAGCAGCAGGCTAGCTAAAAGCTAGGTTATGGCTATACCAAATATTTGTATAACTAAGATAGACCACAGCCTGTCGTTTCCAATGGGAACAAATTAGCCATTGGGGGCAGAACAAGCAAGGAGGTGGGCAGAGCCAAGCACGAGCTAGCGAGATCCTATTGGCACGTTCTAGCATTCGTTTGCATATTTCCGTTAGGGAACGCCTATTTTGTGAAGTGCGTGTGTGCAATAACTCAATTCACATTTGCACTCCTTCTAAACAACTGCAATTTTTGGAAACTTTGACAAAGGTTTTATATTTTCATCTTCTTCTGTGGTTTGGTAACTTCCTGTTCTTCAACGGACTCTGGCTGGACTGACGAAGACGCAGAGCTTGGAAAGATTCAAAGTATGCAGCATCCGTCTCGCAACGGAGCTTTCAACTGCAAAGGGGCATTGTGATTCCATTCCGTTGTGGACAGTCCCCATAAAAATGAATGCCATCCGGTATAACGTAACGGAGTGCTTATGGTTAATGTGAATGAAGCATTATTATGAATGTAATTATTAATGAGTGACAACCACTGAATGTCATTCATTACACTTGTTGGAGTTTTGTAACAGATGTATCTTTCCATTCATCAAATGGTGGGTGCATTTTGCACTGTTTGGATGCGGGACAGCGGGAATAATTATATAGCGGACGAATGTGCGCAGGTAGCCAGGCTTGCATAGGAGCCTTGTGATGTGATTTTTTGACAATCAGATGAAAACATCATGACTGGTTGTGTTTATGTCACATTAAAAGGTTTGCCTAATACATTTTAAAAGTAAAACAACACATATGTACTATTAGGCTCACAGAGATGCAATTAAATTAATAGGGATTCTATATGTAATTCTATGATTAGGTCCATCATTTTTTTTCAACCCTGTTCCTATTGATGTGTCAGCTGACTGCTAGTCTCATTGGGCTGAATTCAGAGTTGACATAAGCATGTGCAAGTTAGACTTTTGCATAATATAATTCACTGTCAGTGGGAGAGGTGCATAAAAGTAAAAACATATATATATGCCATTTAACAGAGTCTTTTATCCAAAGTGACTTACAACATGCGTGCATACATTTTATGTTTGGGTGGTCCCAGGAATTGAACCCACTACCCTGGTGTTGACAAGGGGCATGCGCTACCAACTGAGCTACAAAGGACCAGTTAAGCGTATCTAAAGTCAGATTACAGCCCATTCTCAAACGCGTAGCAAGGCTAGTTGACAGCCTACGATCAACTGCTAATGCTTTCATGTGTGTGTAAATGTCCATGTATTTCAGTTGACTGCATTTGAATGAATTGTGGAACTAATAAAGTAAAGTAAAAGTAATGTGTTTCTGTCCCAGATCTCAGTGTGGCTAAAGAGCAGCAACGGTGTCCTCTCCAGCAACACTGAGCCAGGCTCCCTGCTCTCCCAGTCTGAAGACATGCTCAACAAACACCTGGAACTCTCTTCACAGACACAGGTAGAGTCAGATATAACACCTGTACACTTACTCAACCCTATTCAGATATACGTCCCTTTTGTTTATTTACACAGCTCTTGTACAACGTTTGGGGTCACTTCCATTTCAATTCAGGAATCTCAGTTTACTTCCTGAATTGAATTCATTCTAATGGACCTAACCCTGTCTTGTACTGTACTAAAGCATACACATTACATTACCAACAGTTTGTGGACACCTGCTCGTCGAACATCTCATTCCAAAATCATGGGCATTAATATGGTGTTGGTCCCCCCTTTGCTGCCATAACAGCCTACACTCTTCTGGGAAGGCTTTTCACTAGATGTTGCAACATTGCTGCTGGGACTTGCTTCCATTCAGCCACAAGAGCATTAGTCAGGTCGGGCACTGATGTTGGGCGGTTAGGCCTGGCTCGCAGTCGGCATTCCAATTCATCCCAAAGGTGTTCAATGGGGTTGAGGCCAACCAAGTTCTTCCACACCGATCTCGACAAACCATTTCTGTATGGACCTCGCTTTGTGCACGGGGGCATTGTCATGCTGGAACAGGAAAGGACCTTACCCAAACTGTTGCCACTAAGTTGAAAGCACAGTATCGTCTAGAATGTCATTGTATGCTGTAGCATTACGATTTCCCTTCACTGGAACTAAGGGGCCTAGACCGAACCATGAAAAACAGCCCCAGACCATTATTCCTCCTACACCAAACTTTACAGTTGACACTATGCATTCGGGCAGGTAGCATTTTCCTGGCATCCGCCAAACCCAGATTTGTCCATCGGACTGCCAGATGGTAAAGTGTGATTCATCACTCCAGAGAATGCGTTTCCACTGCTCCAGTCCAAAAATGGCGAACTTTACACCACTCTAGCCATCGCTTGGCATTGCGCATGGTGATCTTAGGTTGGTGTGCGGCTGCTTGGCCATGGTAACCCATTTCACGAAGCTCCCGACTAACAGTTATTGTGCTGACGTTGCTTCCAGAGGCAGTTTGGAACTCTATAGTGAGTGTTGCAATCGAGGACAGACGATTTCTACGCGTTTCAGCATTCGGTGGTCCCGTACTTTGAGCTTGTGTGGCTTACCACTTCGCGGCTAAGCCGTTTTTGCTCCTAGACATTTCCACTTCACAATAACAGCACTTACAGTTGACTGGTGCAGCTCTAGCAGGGCAGAAATTTGACAAACGTACTTGTTGGAAAGGTGGCATCCTATGAGCGTGCCACGTTGAAAGTCACTGAGCTCTTCAGTATGGCCATTCTACTGCCAATGTTTGTCTGTGGAGATTGCATGGCTGTGTGCTCGATTTTATACACCAGTCGGCAACAGGTGTGGCTGAAATAGCCGAATCCACTAATTTGAAGGGGTGTCCACATACTTTTGTGTATAAAATAGTGTATGTGTTACCATAGAGTTTTCTCAACCCTGGTAATTTGGTTCTCAGGAAACAGTCAGTGAGGCAGAGGCCATGGCAGAACTGATAAAGGAACTGAGAACACTGGAGTGTCCTGAAGCCACTGAGTTCTCCAACAAAGCATCACTGCTAGAAGAGGAGCTGAAGACAGTCACCAGAAACATCACATCTCGCATCGAGAATATCCGACCATACGTGGGCTTCTTGCGAATTGCTGAGGAGGTTATTTTCTCTTACATCATTTGATGAAACTTAGGAAGCTCATGGTTTTTATAGATCTGTATAGTTAGTTTGGTACAGTGGTATCTGACTAAATAATGTTACATAATTATGTACAGTGTACATTTAAGTTTTTATGTATTTCATTAATATTATGTTGAAAGCACAGGGGAATTCAAATGAAATGTGTCATTAACTGAAATGGAAATCAATCTGAAATGCAGTGTTGGGGAAGCTACTCTGAAAATATAATTTACGAAGATGCCAGTTACTTAACCCTGGAAGAAGTTAAGCTACACCAAAGCTACCCTTAAGAAAGATATAGTTTACTTATCTAAAGTTACTTTGTAGTTCACTACATCCAAACCTCTTCATGAAAGATTATCATATGTAAATCTGAAATGTCATAGAAGACAATTTGCAAGAACAGTTCACTTTGGGGTCATATGTTAACAGAATGTGTAATTTAGCCTATTAAGCACAAAATCAATGTTTCAAGTGAGAATTAGGCAGGTCGGATGCCAAAAAAGAAAGTAAATGATTGCCTACTTCACCCATATTTTATTTTCCTTTTGCAAGAAGAGTAGTGTGTAGCTCCAGTAGTTAACTGCACAACTACATGGCAAAAAAAGTAATTAACTACTGAAAACACTACCTAGATTTGAATTTAGTTTAACTACCACTAAGCTACTGCAAAAAGTAGTTAAATTACTAGTTGAACTACTTGTAGTTTACTACGCCACAACACTGCTAAAATGTAATATTCTGACATGTGTGACTCCAATGCTGGTTCAGGTGGAGGAACAGATGCAGAGTCTACATGAGAGCTATAACAGGAAGCCAGAGGAGGAGGAGAATGAGGAGAGTGGAGTAACGTCTAAGGAGATAGCTGACGCTAAGTGGCAATCCATGTTGGAACGCTTCCTCACCACACTGGACCTAGGAAACAACTACATCAACTCCTCAAACATGGTGAGAGACATTATTAAGCCTCAACCCCTCCATGCACTGTTATCCATGCTAACATTGAGCCTTCCTATAAGCCATTGCTTTTCTGTCTGCACATACAGTTCATTCAGAAAGTATTCAGACCCCTTGAGTTTTTCCACATTTTGTTACGTTACAGCCTTATTCTAAAATGGATTAAATTAATTGTTTTCCTCATCAATCTACGTACAATTCCCCATAATGACAAAGAGAAAACAGGTTTGTAGAAATATTTGCAAAAAATAAAAACATAAAAAAAATATTTATATAAGTATTCAGACCCTTTGCTGTGAGACTCGAAATTGAGCTCAGGTGCATCCTGTTTCCATTGATCATCCTTGAGATATTTCTACAACTTCATTGGAGTCCACCTGTGGTAAATTCAATTGATTGGACAAGATTTGGAAAGGCATACACCTGTCTATATAAGGTCCCACAGCTGACATTGCATGTCAGAGCAAAGACCAAGCTATGAGCAAAGACCGTAGAGCTCAGAGACAGGATTGTGTCGAGGCACAGATCTGGGGAAGGGTACCAAAAAATGTATGCAGCATTGAAGGTCCCCAAGAACATAGTGGCCTCAATCATTCTTAAATGGAAGAAGTTTGGAACCACCAAGACTCTTCCTAGAGCTGGTCGCCTGGCCAAACTGAGCAATCAGGGGAGAAGGGCCTTGGTCAGGGAGATGACCAAGAACCTGATGGTCACTCTGACAGAGCTCCAGAGTTCTTCTGTGGAGATAGAAGAACCTTCCAGAAGGACAACCATCTTTGCAGCACTCCAACAATCAGGCCTTTATGGTAGAGTGGCCACACTCCTCAGTAAAAGGCACATGACAGCCCGCTTGGAGTTTAACAAAAAGCACCTAAAGACTCTCAGACCATGAGAAACAAGATTCTCTGGTCTGAAGAAACCTGGCACCATCCCTACGGTGAAGCATGGTGGTGGCAGCATCATGCTGTTGGGATGTTTTTCAGTGGCAGGGACTGGGAGACTAGTCAGGATTGAGGGAAAGATGAACAGAGCAAAGTACAGAGAGATCCTTGATGAAAACCTGCTCCAGAGCGCTCAGGACCTCAGACTGGGGCGAAGGTTCACCATCCAACAGGACAACGACCCTAAGCACACAGCCAATACAACGCAGGAGTGGCTTCTGGACAAGTCTCTGAATGTCCTTGAGTGGCCCAGCCAGAGCCCGGATATGATCCCGGTCGAACATCTCTGGAGAGACCTGAAAATAGCTGTGCAGTGACGCTCCCCATCCAACCTGACAGAGCTTGAGAGGATCTGCAGAGAAGAATGGGAGAAACTCCCCAAATACAGGTGTGCCAAGCTTCTAGCGTCATACCCAAGTAGACTCAAGGCTGTAATCGCTGCCAAAGGTGCTTCAACAACGTACTGAGTAAAGGGTCTGAATACTTATGTAAATGTATATTTCCATTTTTAATTTTTTATGAATGTGCAAAATTGTCTACAAACTGTTTTTGCTTTGTCATTATGAGGTATTGTGTGTAGATTTATGAGGGAAAAAAAACAATTTAATCAATTTTAAAATAAGGCTGTAACGTAACAAAATGTGGAAAAAGTCAAGGGGGTTGAATACTTTCCGAATGCACTGTATATCTTAGAATTAACAAGTAATAATAATACATTTTATTTTAAGCGCTTTTCAAGACACCCAAGTCACTTTACATACACAAGATAATCAGCAGGATAAAAAGCAATACAATCACACATTAAAATAAGCAAGTATATAAAAGTACACGAAATATAAGGACAGACTAACCAGGGAGGTGAACTAAACAGGGTTTCAGCAGTGGGTTCAGTGCGAGAGGGTCTGAGTCGTGAGATGTTTTTGAGGTGGAAGAAGGCTGACTTGGTGATGTTTTGGATTCTGGGTTCAAATGACAGCGTGGGGGACAAACGTAACAGCAAGTTCCTGACTGTGGAGTTTTTTGCTTTTTAAAACTAAATGATGCCAAAACAGAGGTCATGCCAAAATTAGACAAACCTTATAACCATTGATTATTGCATTTTCATATAAGTATGGTTAGCATTGCTTTGGAATAATAACTTCCGCCAACATCCAGGAGCCCTTCGTAAGGGCTGTAGGATACAGATAAGATCCAGTACCTGATACCAATGGATTCTTTATGTTGACATTGTCAGGTGAGTGAGAACCTGAATCTGAATGTGAGGGCAGCCATCGGTGTGGTGGAGAAGACCATTGAGGAGCTGAACAAGAAGAAGGTGGATCTGTCAGACCTCTGGACCTCCTGGCAGCTCCACGTCAGTCAGATGAAGTCCGTCAAGAAACAGTTGAAGAAATACAAAGAACAACTGAAAAAGGTACAACACAAATAAGTATATATAATGTACACTACCGTTCAAAAGTTTGGGGTCACTTAGAAATGTCCTTGTTTTCGAAAGAAAAGCAATTTTTCTGTCCATTTAAAATAACATAAAATCAGAAATACAGTGTAGACATTGTTAATGTTGTAAATGGCTATTGTAGCTGGAAACGGCTGATTTTGTATGGAATATCGACATAGGCGTACAGAGGCCCATTATCAGCAACCATCAGTCCTGTGTTCCAATGGCACGTTGTGTTTGCTAATCCAAGTTTATCATTTTAAAAGGCTAATTAATCATTAGAAAACCCTTTTGCAATTATGTTAGCACAGCTGAAAACTGTTGTGCTGATTAAAGAAGCAATAAAACTGGCCTTCTTGAGACTAGTTGAGTATCTGGAGCATCAGCAATTGTGGGTTCGATTACAGGCTCAAAATGGCCAGAAACAAAGAACTTTCTTCTGAAACTCGTCAGTCTATTCTTGTTCTGAGAAATGAAGGCTATTCCATGCGAGAAATTGCCAAGAAACTGAAGATCTCGTACAACGCTGTGTACTACTCCCTTCACAGAACAGTGCAAACTGGCTCTAACCAGAATAGAAAGAGGAGTGGGAGGCCTCGGTGCACAACTGAGCAAGAGGACAAATACATTACAGTTTCTAGTTTGAGAAACAGACGCCTCACAGGTCCTCTACTAGCAGCTTCATTAAATAGTACCCTCAAAACACCAGTCTCAACGTCAACAGTGAAGAGGTGACTCCGGGATGCTGACCTTCTAGGCAGAGTTGCAAAGAAAAAGCCATATCTCAGACTGCCCATCTTAATATTTTCTTTTTATTGGCCAGCCTGCTCAAATAAGCAAATAGAAACGACAGTCCATCATTACTTTAAGACATCCGGAAAATCAGGCCTTCATGGTCGAATTGCTGCAAAGAAACCACTACTAAAGGACACCAATAAGAAGAAGATACTTGCTTGGGCCAAGAAACACGAGCAATGGACTTTAGACCGGTGGAAATCTGTCCTTTGGTCCGATGAGTCCAAATTTGAGATTTTTGGTTCCAACCGCCGTGTCTTTGTGAGACGCAGAGTACGTGAACGGATGATCACCGCATGTGTGGTTCCCACCATGAAGCATGGAGGAGGAGGTGTTATGGTGTGGGGTTGCTTTGCTGGTGACACTGTCAGTGATTTATTTAGAATTCAAGGCACACTTAACCAGCATGGCTACCACAGCATTCTGCAGCGATACGCCATCCCATCTGGTTTGTGCTTAGTGGGACTATCATTTGTTTTTCAACAGGACAATGACCCAAACACACCTCCAGGCTGTGTAAGGTCTATTTGACCAAGAAGGAGAGTGATTGAGTGCTGAATCAGATGACCTGGCCTCCACAATCACCCGACCTCAACCCAATTGAGATGGTATGGAAAAGCAGCCAACAAGTGCTCAGCATATTTGGGAACTCCTTCAAGACTGTTGGAAAAGCATTCCTCTTGAAGCTGGTTGAGAGAATGCCAAGAGTGTGCAAAGCTGTCATCAAGGCAAAGGGTGGCTACTTTGAAGAATCGCATTTGTTTAACACTTTTTGGGTTACTACATGATTCCATATGTGTTATTTCATAGTTTTGATGTCTTCACTATTATTCTACAATGTAGAAAATAGTAAAAATAACGAAAATCCCTTGAATGAGTAGGTGTATCCAAACTTTTGACTGGTACTATATATCCATGACAAATTCCTGAATCACAACAAATGTATTCTCAATTTATCATAAGTGCAATCTCATTTAGTGTTAAGACAACCCCCTGAATACAATGTTGGAACAGAAGTGTTATTTTTTTTTTATTGAGTTTTTTTTTACAGACTGTTCATGACCTAAAGAATGTGGAGGAGGTTCTTGTCCCGACCTCTAAAGTAGATCTGGGAAGGGATCTTCAGACTGTGTCCAAGCTACTGGAGAACTTTAACCTAGCTAAGCCCCAGTTTCTGGTAAGAACTGTAGCCTATTGGCATGTCATACACAGTAGGTAGAAGAAATCACAACATTATTATGTCTGATTATGTATAATACTTTTACAATAGTACCAATAGTCTGTGTTAGTAGTTAGTTAGTATACACTTTACCTTATCTATACAGTATCTTTACAGGGGCTCTAAGAAGCATGACACCATGCCTACATTTGTGTTCTGGTCCATTATGTGATATCCTATAGGTAAATATGCATTATTATTCTACTATATCTCTATTTACTGTATGTCCCCTGTAGCAGTTGAATGCAGAAGTAGAATACATGGTGAAGACATCAGAACTGTTGGCGTTGAAAGGAATTCCTATCAAAGAGAAGAGTGAGAAAGTCACAGAGATGCTTCACCTTCATCAGAGAGTGAAAAATAAAATCAAAGAGTATGAGTCTGTCCTCAACATGGCCGTGAAGTTCCACCAGCTCTATGACGAGGTAACAACACATAGTCTAAGTGTGCGGGTTGTGTACCGCCCTATTCCCAATGGAATAGTGCACTACTTTTGACCAGGGCTCATAAGGTGTACTATATAGGGAATAGGGTGAAATTTGGGACGCAACCATAGTCTTACATTCTGTAAATATCAGGGAGGGTGTTATCTTTGCTATAGTCTCTTCAGAGTCATTGTGTCTGGGTCTGGCATGGAAAACTATATTTGCTGTGTGTTTGAGAGAACACATGGGATCAGTTTAGAATAGATCAAAGCTCCCTGCCCTTCACAGACATTTTCAGATTGAAATGTCACATAAATATTGTAACTATCAGAGAGTTACTTACCTATCTAGCTTTTCTGTAGACACCAAAGAACACAGGATATCAGTTAAGAGATGCCCTGGAGATTCCTCGCAGACCTTTTCAGCCAGAAATGTACCATAAGAGATTAATACTTTGCATGCTTTGCAGGTTTCCCAGACAAGATAACACAGAAGACACTAATAGACCTCATTACTTACTAATTTTATAATCAATTCTTGAACAGCTGGTGATATGCAAACATCATTAAACACACATAGATTCGGATCATAGCAATAAATAAACAGCCTCCTAATTGGTTCATTGTTTTGTCCCCAGCTGGATAAGCTGTTAATGTTGGAGCCTGTGACGGGGTTCAGTGAGACGAGCCAGGCTAAGATCCAGCTGATCCAACACCAGGACAGACAGAGTCACGTCAGACACCTATACAAGCTGGCTATCTCTCTGGGAGGAGATATCAGCAACACTGTACAACAGTCGGTGAGAAGACACACACACACACACAGCCACGTCAGACACCTGTACAAGTTGGCCATCTCTCAGTAACACTGTCGGTGCGACTGCAAGGCAACACCTCATCATTCACCGCTGTTGTTTGTTTGTCTTGACCCTGAGAGCATGTTTGCACTCCCCTTGCACCAAGTGCTGGACTTTTTTTTTCACAGGCACAATGCATACCAATGAAATGCTAAATAATAAATAAACTCAGCAAAAAAAGAAATGTCCTCTCACTGTCAACTGCGTTTATTTTCAGCAAACTTAACATGTGTAAATATTTGTATGAACATAACAAGATTCAACAACTGAGACATAAACTGAACAAGTTCCACAGACATGTGACTAACAGAAATTGTATAATGTGTCACTGAACAAAGGGGGGGTCAAAATAAAAAGTAACAGTCAGTATCTGGTGTGGCCACCAGCTGCAATAAGTACTGCAGTGCATCTCCTCCTCATGGACTGCACCAGATTTGCCAGTTCCTGCTGTGAGATGTTACCCCATTCTTCCACCAAGACACCTGCAAGTTCCTGGACATTTCTTGGGGGAATGGCCCTAGCCCTCACACTCCGATCCAACAGGTCCCAGACGTGCTCAATGGGATTGAGATCCGGGCTCTTCGCTGACCATGGCAGAACACTGACATTCCTGTCTTGCAGGAAATCACGTACAGAACGAGCAGTATGGCTGGTGGCATTGTCATGCTGGAGGGTTATGTCAGGATGAGCCTGCAGGAAGGGTACCACATGATGGAGGAGGATGTAACACTCATTTCTTCGACGATAAACGCGAATCCGACCATCACCCCTGGTGAGACAAAACTGCGACTCGTCAGTGAAGAGCACTTTTTGCCAGTCCTGTCTGGTCCAGCGATGGTGGGTTTGTGCCCATAGGCGACATTGTTGCCGGTGATGTCTGGTGAGGACCTGCCTTACAACAGGCCAACAAGCCCTCAGTCCAGCCGCTCTCAGCCTATTGCGGACAGTCTGAGCACTGATAGAGGGATTGTGCGTTCCTGGTGTAACTCGGGCAATTGTTGTTGCCATCCTGTACCTGTCCCGCAGGTGTGATGTTCGGATGTACCGATCCTGTGCAGGTGTTGTTACACGTGGTCTGTCACTGCGAGGACGATCAGCTGTCCGTCCTGTCTCCATTGCAATTTATTGCCCTGGCCACATCTGCAGTCCTCATGTCTCCTTGCAGCATACCTAAGGCACATTCACGCAGATGAGCAGGGACCCTGGGCATCTTCCTTTTGGTGTTTTTCAGAGTCAGTAGAAAGGCCTCTTTAGCGTCCTAAGTTTTCATAACTGTGACCTTAATTGCCTACCGTCTGTAAGCTGTTATTGTCTTAACGACCGTTCCACAGGTGCATGTTCATTAATTGTTTATGGTTCCTTGAACAAGCATGTGAAACAGTGTTTAAACCCTTTACAATGAAGATCTGTTAAGTTATTTGGATTTTTTACGAATTATCTTTGAAAGACAGGGTCGTGAAAAAGGGACGTTTCTTTTTTTGCTGAGTTTAGAAGTATACTTTTGAAGATTGTTACATTTCCTGATCATTATCCTATGATACAAACATTTTCTCTCCTGCCATCCCAGCATGCCTCAGGTTTCTCTGTGCAGCGTCTGCAGGAGCGTCTGGAGAGACTGGAGAGAGGCTGTGTGAACTGGAGTGCTGAGGCCAACAGGTGTGAAGAGAGCCTCATCAGCAACATGTACTACTGTGTCTTCAAGGAGGAGATCACTGAGGTGAAACCCTCTCTCTCTCTCTCGCTCACACACACACACACACACACACACACACACACACACACACACACACACACACACACACACACACACACAGCTTCAAGGAGGAGATCACTAAGGTTGGACAAACAACCCTTTGGCTTTATATCAATTAGTCTATTAGTGTAGGTCAGGGCTCTCCAACCCTGTTCCTGGAGAGCTACACTCCTGTAAGTTTTAACTCCAACCCTCTTCCTGGAGAGCTACCCTCCTGTAGGTTTTAACTCCAAACCCTGTTCCTGGAGAGCTACCCTCCCGTAGGTTTTAATTCCAACCCTGTTCCTGGAGAGCTACCCTCCCGTAGGTTTTAACTCCAACCCTGTTCCTGGAGAGCTACCCTCCCATAGGTTTTAATTCCAACCCTGTTCCTGGAGAGCTAACCTCCTGTAGGTTTTAACTCCAAACCCTGTTCCTGGAGAGCTACCCTCCCGTAGGTTTTAATTCCAACCCTGTTCCTGGAGAGCTACCCTCCCATAGGTTTTAACTCCAATCCTGTTCCTGGAGAGCTACGCTACTGTAGGTTTTAAGTCCAACCCTGTTCCTGGAGAGCTACAACCCGAGTTATAGCTAACCTGATTCAACCAGCTAATTATTAGTATCAGGTGTGCTAGATTAGGGTTGGAGTGAAAACCTACAGGACGGTAGCTCTCCAGGAACAGGGTTATGCACCCCAATGTATCTAACCCAGGCCCCAGATCAAGAGTTCAATTTATCTAACACAGGTCCCAGATCAAGAGCTCAATTTATCTAACCCAGGTCCCAGATCAAGAGCTCAATTGATCTGAGGTCAAACCCTCTCTCTCTCGCTCACACACACACACACACACACACACACACACACACACACACACACACACACACACACACACACACACACACACACACACACACACACACACACACACACACACACACACACACACACACACACACAGCTTCAAGGAGGAGATCACTAAGGTTGGACGGTGAAACAACCCTTTGGCTTTATATCAATTAGTCTATTAGTGTAGGTCAGGGCTCTCCAACCCTGTTCCTGGAGAGCTACACTCCTGTAGGTTTTAACTCCAACCCTGTTCCTGGAGAGCTACACTCCTGTAAGTTTTAACTCCAAGCCTGTTCCTGGAGAGCTACCCTCCTGTAGATTTTAACTCCAACCCTGTTCCTGGAGACCTACCCTCCTGTAGGTTTTAACTCCAACCCTGTTCCTGGAGAGCCACCCTCCTGTAGGTTTTAACTCCAACCCTGTTCCTGGAGAGCTACCCTCCTGTAGGTTTTAACTCCAAACCCTGTTCCTGGAGAGCTACACTCCCGTAGGTTTTAACTTCAACCCTGTTCCTGGAGAGCTACGCTACTGTAGGTTTTAAGTCCAATCCTGTTCCTGGAGAGCTACAACCCGAGTTATAGCTAACCTGATTCAACCAGCTAATTATTAGTATCAGGTGCGCTAGATTAGGGTTGGAGTGAAAACCTACAGGACGGTAGCTCTCCAGGAACAGGGTTATGCACCCCAATGTATCTAACCCAGGCCCCAGATCAAGAGTTCAATTTATCTAACCCAGGTCCCAGATCAAGAGCTCAATTTATCTAACCCAGGTCCCAGATCAAGAGCTCAATTGATCTAACCCAGGTCCCAGATCAAGAGCTCAATTTATCCAACCCAGGCCCCAGATCAAGAACACAATTGATCTAACCCAGGCCCCAGATCAAGAGCTCAATTTATCTAACACAGGCCCCAGATCAAGAGCTCAATTTATCTAACACAGGCCCCAGATCAAGAGCTCAATTTATCTAACACAGGCCCCAGATCAAGAGCTCAATTTATCAAACACAGGGACCAGATCAAGAGCTCAAGCTTGGGGCTTTTAGGACTGTGTCACGTTCGTTGAATGATGGGTCAGACCAAGGCGCAGCGTGATATGCATACATGTTTATTTTAACTATTAAACACCACGACAAAACAATAAACGAAACGAAACGTGAAGTCCAAGGTAGTACAGAAAACAAACCTTACACGGAACAAGATCCCACAACTAGAGAGTGCCAATAGGCTGCTTAAGTATGGTCCCCAATCAGAGACAACGAGCGACAGCTGCCTCTGATTGGGAACCACACCGGCCAACATAGAACTAGACATACTAGATCCTCATACATAGAACAAGCACAACAAGGAATATACACACCCTGACTCAACATATAAGCGTCCCCTGAGTCAGGGCGTGACAGACTGTGATCCTTGTCTCTAGAGGGTCTATATTCAAAGTGACATTCCCTCCCTCTCCTCCCTCTCTCTTTCCCTCCCCCTCCATCCTCCTGTCTCTGCCATTTGTCTCATGTTTCTCCAGTCAGGAGAGCAGATTCCTCTCATATCAGCTGTGGAAGCGCAACCCAAATAAGAGGCCTCAATACCAGGGCCTCAATCCCCTATTTATTAGAGATTCCCTTGGCCTAATAATGATTATATCTGCATGTCATATGTAGGCCTGTGGGTGGTACTAGTCTAAAGTTTGCACACACATCTTTAGCAGTTTCTTTATCATGTTTCCTGTTCCAAATCTATTCATGGAACTCTATTTTTACTCCAACACACCATTTATGGCACAGCCAAGATGTGTTTGTCCTCTGCCTCCATCTAGTGAACGATGTTGTCAGTATGTAAGTGTTTATACAACTTGAGATGCTCTGTTTTTATAAACATTTTTGGGTCCATTTCTTATTAATTCACCACCATATCAGTTTTCATTGTTAATAACTGCAATCAAAATGTTGTTTTCATTAGGGTGTTTCTGTTACCTCACATGGCTTGGTTATACATACCCTAGAAAGGCCCTTTCTACTGAATAATACACATTTTCCAACACTTGAGAAGTGAGGGCATAATTATTATTTTCTGGTTAGGTTATTTCATCTGGCCAGCAGAGGGAGCCGCTGTTGCCTCCTTAGAGAAAGTAGAGCGCTCGTAAATATGTCATGAATATATCACCTTGCTTGGATCATTACTTGGAATACATGTGACAGTATTTCATATACCACCATGTCGCTGATACAGGTTGACATACTTCTCCGTTCCCACTATATTAAGGACACCATACAGTTGGCTGAGCATACCTAGACACACCTAGACATTTACCAGACACTGCTAAAAGGTTACAGTCATTTTGGAAAGTATTCGGACCCCTTGACTTTTTCCACATTTTGTTACATTACAGCCGTATTCTAAAATGGATTAAATTGTTTTTTCCCCTCATTAATCTACACACAATACCCCATAATGACAAAGCAAAAACAGGTTTTAGAAAACCAGAAATATCACATTTACATAAGTATTCAGACCCTTTACTCAGTACTTTGTTAAAGCACCTTTGGCAGCGATTACAGCCTTGAGTCTTCTTTGGTATGACACAAGCTTGGCACACCTGTATTTGGGGAGTTTCTCACATTCTTCTCTGCAGATCCTCACAACCTCTGTAAGGTTGGATGGGGAGCGTCACTGCACAGCTATTTTCAGGTCTCTCCAGAGATGTTCGTCCGGGCTCTGGCTGGGCCACTCAAGGACATTCAGACACTTGTCCCGAAGCCACTCCTGTGTTGTCTTGGCTGTGTGCTTAGGGTCGTTGTCCTGTTTGAAGGTAAACCTTCGCTCCAGTCTGAGGTCCTGAGCGCTCTGGAGCAGGATTTCATCAAGGATCTCTCTGTCCTTTGTTCCGTTCATCGTTCCCTCGATCCTGACCAGTCCTTGCCGCTGAAAACGACAACATCCCAACAGCATGATGCTGCCACCACTATGCTTCACCATAGGGATGCCAGGTTTCCTTCAGACTTGACGCTTGGTATTCAGGCCAAAGAGTTCAATCTTGGTTACATCAGACCAGAGAATCCTGTTTCTCATGGTCTGAGAGTCCTTTAGGTGCCTTTTGGCAAACTCCAAGCGGGCTGTCATATGCCTTTTACTGAGGAGTGGCTTCCGTCTGGCCGCTCTACCATAAAGGCCTAATTGGTGGAGTGCTGCAGAGAGGGTTGTCCTTCTGGAAGGTTCTCCCATCTCCACAGAGGAACTCTGGAGCTCTGTCAGAGTGACCATCATGTTCTTGGTCACCTCCCTGACCAAGGCCCTTCTCCCGTTATTGCTCAGTTTGGCCAGGCGGCCAGCTCTAGGAAGAGTCTTGGTGGTTCCAAACTTCTTCCATTTAAGAATGATGGAGGCCACTGTGTTCTTGGGGACCTTCAATTCTGCAGACATTTTGTGGTACCCTTCTCCAGATCTGTGTCTCGACACAATCCTGTTTCAGAGCTCTACGGACAATTCCTTCGACCTCATAGCTTGGTTTTTGCTCTGATATGCACTGTCAACTGTGTGACCTTATATAGACAGCTGTGTGCCTTTCCAAATCATGTCCAATTAATTGAATTTACCACAGTTGGACTCCAATCAAGTTGTAGAAACATCTCAAGGATGATCAATGGAAATAGGATGCACCTGAGCTCAATTTCTAGTCTCATAGCAAAGGGTCTGAATATTTATGTAAATAAGGTATTCATTTTTTATTTGTTATTTTACATTTGCAAAAATGTCTAAATACCTGTTTTTGCACTGTCATTATGGGGTATTGTGCGTAGATTGATGAGGACAATTTTTTATTTAATCCATTTTAGAATAAGGCTGTAATGTAACAAAATGTGGAAAAAGTCAAGGGGTCTGAATACTTTCCTAATGCACTGTATTTCAAAGTTGGTGACAATAATTTCAATTCAGTCAATTCAAGAAGTACAGTAAACTGAAATTCCAATTTCAATTGCCTTATTAAATAGCATGGAATTTCAGTTTACTTCCTGAATTGACTGAATTGAAATGGAATTAACTCCGATCATGTCTTATGTAATCTTACAGACCAGTCTACAAAACATTTTTTGTGCATGAATAAAGAATGAGATGATACATTCAGAAAAAATATGACTTTCTATTGAATTACAATTCAAGTAGATGATATGATCAATATATTCTTAATAGTAATGACTAAGTATTTAATATTAATATTAATGACATAAGTAAGTATTAAGCAGTAATGGTAAGAAATTGAAAGAAGGGTATTTTTTCTCTCTTTGCTGTGCCATAAGTTTCCATGAAATAGACAGGCCATGTGTTGTAGGGGTCAGTGGGTTTTGACTAGATGGGATACAGCTTATGTCAGAATTGACCAGGATTGACTTTTCGTAGCAGGTTAGGAGAACTTATGCAGCGGGTTAGGATAATTAACGTAGCAGGTTAGGAAAAGGTTTAGGCTTAGCTAAAATGCAAAAAATGTCAACTTTAGACGTCCATTTGACTAGCCAACAGCCTTTTATAAATATGGATGAGTAGACAAGATGGCATTTTATTAGCAGGGGCAGTTGCTGCTGCTCATCAGCTGGGGTGAGACTCCATTTAAATCTGATCGTGCTCTCAGACTGTACCCTCAATTTACAGTAGCACAGTCTAGGCCTAGTGCCTATTGCTCTCAAGAGTCATACTGCTCTGGTTCTGCAAACTAAAGGCCGATGTTTTTCTTGAGCGGATGGTCAGGGGTCCGGAACATAAATTCTAGACTGCAAATTGACCGCAAGAAGCCCAAACAGATATAATATTTGAATAAATCATAATCATTTCAAACCTTGCTTACATTTGTATACGATCACATACAGTATATTTCTATTATGCGTGGGAATCTTTGTCATCTGTCATCTTGAAATAGCGCAATATTTTTAGAAAACCAATCCAATTATTCTTCTGTATCTACAGTCTTTCTTGATGGGTATGCTTATAGTTCTTTAAAGGTTATTTAATTTGGTTCTATTAGTTATCAATGGGTCAGAAGGTCTCAGTTAGGTCTCCGTAGCGTCTGGCTCAGTAGCTGTACAGTAATTGCTTTTGGAAGCCCAACTCCAGCTACTTGATGAGATGGTACAGTCCCGTGGGACAACAAAAAGCCTTTCCTTAATGTTTCCTTCTTGAAACTCTCTCTCTCTCTCTCTCTCTCTCTCTCTCTCTCTCTCTCTCTCTCTCTCTCTATCTATCTATCTATCTATCTATCTATCTATCTATCTATCTGTCTGTCTGTCTGTCTGTCTGTCTGTCTGTCTGTCTGTCTGTCTGTCTGTCTGTCTGTCTGTCTGTCTGTCTGTCTGTCTGTCTGTCTGTCTGTCTGTCTGTCTGTCTGTCTGTCTGTCTCTCTCTGCTCTCTCTCTATCTCTCTCTCTCTCTCTCTCTCTCTCTCTCTCTCTCCTCTCTCTCTCTCTCTCTCTCTCTCTCTCTCTCTCCTCTCTCTCTCTCTCTCTCTCTCTCTCTCTCTCTCTCTCTCTCTCTCTCTCAAATTTCAATTCAATTTCAATTTAAGGGCTTTATTGGCATGGGAAACGTATGTTAACATTGCCAAAGCAAGTGAAGTAGATAGTAAACAAAAGTGAAATAAACAATAAATATTAACAGTAAACATTACACTCAGAAGTTTCAAAAGAATAAAGACATTTCAAATGTCATATTATGTATATATACAGTGTTGTAACAATGTGCAAATAGCTAAAGTACAAATGGGAAAATAAATAAACATAAATATGGGTTGTATTTACAATGGTTTTTGTTCTTCACTGGTTGCCCTTTTCTTGTGGCAACAGGTCACAAATCTTGCAGCTGTGATGGCACACTGTGGTTTTTCACCCAGTAGATAAGGGAGTTTATCAAAATTGGGTTTGTTTTTTGAATTCTTTGTGGATCGCTGTAATCTGAGGGAAATATGTGTCTCTAATATGGTCATACATTTGGCAGGAGGTTAGGAAGTGCAGCTCAGTTTCCACCTCATTTTGTGGGCAGTGTGCACATAGCCTGTCTTCTCTTGAGAGCCAGGTCTGCCTACGGCGGCCTTTATCAATAGCAAGGCTATGCTCACTGAGTCTGTACATAGTCAAAGCTTTCCTTAAGTTTGGGTCAGTCACAGTGGTCAGGTATTCTGCCACTGTGTACTCTCTGTTTAGGGCCAAATAGCATTCTAGTTTGCTCTGTTTTTTTGTTTGTTCTTTCCAATGTGTCAAGTAATTCTCTTTTTGTTTTCTCATGATTTGGTTGGGTCTAATTGTGTTGTTGTTGTTGTTGTTGTCCTGGGGCTGTGTGGGGTCTGTTTGTGTTTGTGAACAGAGCCCCAGGACCAGCTTACTTAGGGGACTCCAAGTTCATCTCTCTGTAGGTGATGGCTTTGTTATGGAAGGTTTGGGAATCGCTTCCTTTTAAGTGGTTATAGAATTTAACGGCTCTTTTCTGGATTTTGATAATTAGCGGGTTAATGGCCTAATTCTGCTCTGCATGCATTATTTGGTGTTTTACGTTGTACACAGAGGATGTTTTTGCAGAATTCTGCATGCAGAGTCTCAATTTGGTGTTTGTCCCATTTTGTGAATTCTTGGTTGGTGAGCGGACCCCAGACCTCACAACCATAAAGGGTAATGGGTTCTATAACTGATTCAAGTATTTTTAGCCAGATCCTAATTGGTATGTCAAATTTTATGTTCCTTTTGATGGTATAGAAGGCCCTTCTTGCCTTGTCTCTCTCTCTCTCTCTCTCTCTCTCTCTCTCTCTCTCTCTCTCTCTCTCTCTCTCTCTGCAGTAAAACAGAGACTCCCCATGTACCCATCTCAGCTAGGGAAAAATATAGTTATACGAGGTTCCCAAAATTGGATGTAGGGGGAGGCTGGTTAGGCTGCAGCTGTCCTGGTCTGACACATGAGCTGGCCATTCGGAGACTCTACACCACTGCAGAAGCCGTCGGCTGGGACAGAAATGGCCCTGCAGTATAAATCACGTCTCCAGTCTTAGCCATTAAGTTCACCAAAATAATCCCTACACTGACTGAATCTGAATCCAACCCTGCTCTGCTACACTGTTCTGTTTTCCTGCCAAATAGGATACACTAACCAGCCACCCTCCCCCTCCTCCATATCTCTGGTGGTGCTGTTAGATGTTACATGTTCAATGTTCTGTAACTGTATCAAAGGGAGTGAATTACAATAGATTTAGATGTCAACGCAGATAAGAAACACAGAATTATGATGATTTTAGGCTTTTATGTCTTAACTGATTGAAATGTTTTGTATTCTGATTGAAAACATTTGTTATTAATAGATCATGATTATTTTCATTTCAGCTGAGAGAGTCGTTCAAGGACCTCAAGAAGAAATTCAACAACTTGAAGTTCAATTATATGAAGAAAAACGACAAGTCAAGGAACCTGAAAGCAGTGAAAAACCAAATCCAGCAGATAGAGATTTTTGTTGAAAAGTTACAGGTGAGACACCCCCCCCCCCCCCAGAAAAAAAAAATCAAAATTCCCTCAACCCCTGCTGTTCAATGGTTTTGAAATTATTCCTAGGTCATGTATATTTTGTTTACCTCTTTCTCTTTCTATCTTCATTCAGGTATTGCAGAAACGGATGCAGGTATTTACAGTCAAAGTGACTTCCAGCACAGAGAAGCATCTAATAGGCAGTAGCCCCAGAGAGATAGAGGATGCTGTGAATGAGCTACAGAGACAGCTGGGGGACTTTGACAAGACTGTGGAGGAGTACAGGCAGAATCTGGACATGAGCGTAAAGCTGCAGCAAGCTATGGAGGAGGTGTGGATTGGATAAAAACTTAAGGAAAAAAGAAAAAAAAAATTTTTACCCTTTT